TGAGAGATGCATGAGGTAATGTCCGTTGGGGGTTGAGTCTTTGCCGCCTTGGCAGCTAGATACTCGCCGTTTAAGAAGCGACTTCGCCGAAGATGGATCCCGGGGTGAACTCACGCGGCAGGTCGCCGGTCACCGGTAATGATTGTCTGGATTCAATTGTTGCTCCCGTACATAATCACTCGCTCGACCCACATCGACCTCGTTCTCGTTACTTTCTGGGAGAATTGCCAAGGCTTGGCGACTACAGCATGCCGAAGATGCGGTCTACACTCTGTTGAAAGATTTGCATGACGCAGTATCTCGATCAACAACTTTCAGTACAACTACAGAAGTCCCTCAAAGAAAACCTTTTGAGGCTGTTCGTTGCGACTTCCCGATCCGGATTTACCTACTAAGTGGGAGATATTTTTCCTCGTTGGGTTGCGGTTTGTGAGTTCGGCGATGCCCTTCCTGGTATTTCTGAGGATGAACTCTGTTCAGTGCCCAACAATGAGTTTCAATATCGACGGTCTTTCGAGCCTTTGTCCCTCCACGGCGCTTCCTTGTGTCATACCTCTTGATGCCGAATTGTTCACTTAGCTCTAGGATTGATTTCGGCGGTCTTTTGCCGTGTGTCTTTCCGCCAAGGCCGCTGAGCCTTAGACTCATATACTCCAACTAGCACTTCTGCGGTCCTTATCTTACGATTGGAGGAGTATGATAGCTAAGTCTGCGTAGCTCGGTCAATAGCCGCTAGCCCATGCTATAGAATATTGTTTGGTCGGACTAACTCTATAGGAGAACAACTTGCTTTCCTTCAGCTCCGACATGACACGGAAGCCATTTTCTCCTGAGTGATCGTCTAATACGATTCTCGGCTTTTTGACATGACTGAAGTGCGACTACAGGCAGATGACTTGACTAGTTCTCTGCCGAGAGAGAGAGCTCAGAAGTGTATTAGGGTTGGTAGGGCCTTGGGGTTAAGCTGATACGATCATCGGGATCTATTTGTGTGGTTGTCATGATAGTAGAAAATGAAAGACATTTGGTAGGCCGGCTACCTGTGATTTACTTGAACACTTTGACTCTATGCTCACCCAGAGGCAATGAAGGCGATACCTTATTTTCCTATCCTGATTCCTGATGTAACATGCGCCCCACATCGTGCCGTCGCTAGAGTAAGGCAGCGCCATCTGGTGAATATAACTTCACCTGAACCACGTGATCATCCAACCAGAGGGGCTCAGTCCGCTAGGCCTTCTTAGTGAAGGGTGAATATTGATTCGTTTACTTTTTTCTCCCAAAAACGCTGTAGGGAACCCGCGTCTCGCCAGCCACATAACTTCGCGTGCCAACTCCTCGACTGAGCGCATCGCGCCGTCGCCCGTCATCCGACTTTTTGCACCACAGATCATCGCAGAGTAAGAATGATATCTAGATCACTGTGAAGTTCCGATATAAGACGGTTAGTTACAATCTCACCCGGGTGTTGTGATCAGTCCCCGTCATGCATTAACTTGCCCGGCAGCGTCTCGTAACCTCTTTCCGCCTACAAGATGCCTCCCGTCACCCTTCTTACGACGCCCGGAGCCCGCAACCTCAATCACAAAGTCCTTACCAAGATTCCTGGACTACTCTTTCTTGACGGCACTGATTTCCTGATTGGAGATGAATGTCGTGTGCGATGTTGCTCGGAAAGACCATGAAGAACGACCGCGACCTTCCCAAGAATCCGAACGCCGTCAAGTTCTACACTCATAAGATTTCCAAGAGACTCTACGGCCTCATCCACGAGGCTAACCGCCATCTCACGGAACTTCAGAAGGGCAGTACCAGCCTCCGTCGTATCCTCCACAATCACCGCCAGCAGGAGTTCTGGACTTTCATCTTTGGCAAATTGCGATCAAACCGCAAATGGGACGTGTTTACCCCTCATGGACCGCAGGTCGAGGCCTTGCTCGACCGTTCCTGCGTCGCGCGGACAGAGTACCTCCTTACTCGCGCCCCCGACGCCGTTGCCGACGAGGCTGTCAAGAACCCCGTCTTCAGCGCCATGCTCGAGGCCTTGGATGTCTAGGTTGCATGCAAGGTCGATTTGGTCGGCTTGTTCCACACCATTCCCGACGACTGCGAGCTTCTCTTCGCTCCGTCACCTCCAGGCCGAGCCGCCTCGCCTTTCGACGATGCCGTCGCCAATGCCACCACTGTCGATACCTATTAATCCTCTGATACTACGGAGGGGCAGGAGGAGGAGAAAGACACTCCCATCGCCAGTGCTTTCGTCACCATGCAGCTCTGGGCTATTGTTCGGCCCATAGTCCACAGGGAGAAGGAGCGACTTAGCCTTCGCACCTACCGACACAACGAGCTATTCGGATTTCTTCGCATGAACACCCAGTAATGGTAGTTGAGATGAACGGGCTGCTGATGGGGATGAAAGTACCAGGCATAGGCACGGTTGGATGGGACGGGAAAAGATCCATGGAATCGTCAAATTTGGTCTTAGAGGATGAGGTCGATTACCTAGCAACTGTGCGCAGTCTGTAGATCATTTTCCCCATGGAATCGTTGATTGTATTTGAATACAGCTTGATGGGTCTGCTTTGAAGTAATCGCACTACCTTACCTGATGACATACTCTCAAAAGCGCAATTGAGGATTCTTTGTGTCTGGAGCCCGACGGCTGTATGATACACCTTGCCAATAGACCTTTCATGGCATCGTATAAGAAGCAAGATAGGTACTTTTGCTTGGTATCAATCTCGAACAAGTCCCAGAAGACTGCCATGAATCATGGATTAAACCATTAGATTATGAAAGGAACGATGTAACTATCTAGGCAGAAAGAACTGTGATAATAATGCTTGCAGCCTGAAACACATGGATGACATTGACTGAACTGTAAGATGATCACTGGACTTCGAGTGATTGATCAGTATCGCAGGCTACAGCGGTATGACTTGGGATTGGGGGTACTTATGCCAGATTGACCGCGAAATTTGCAACCCAGGGGAAGGGGGGCAGGTTAGAGTCGGATGGTGCAGATGTAGGGCCCCTCTGCATGAACTGTCGGCGCCGGTAGCCCCCTTGTACCAACTGGTTTCTTAAGATCAATGGTTCGAGTCTCTATTAGAGCAATTTCTTTTTGGATCTTTTGATACCTCACCTTCTCTTGTTGCCTGTTAGAGGGTTTGGAGCGCTTCATCTATCCCGCGTAAGTGCAGCCCTGACCGCGCAAGGAAGTGCACAGCACGATGGAGGGACGCTAGGAACTTGGAAGGGCAGGCTTTTGTGTCTCGTTAGGGGCTTATCTGTCCACCCGTGAGAATTGCCTTATTAGTCTGAGGCCTTTCATGCTGAGAGGCACAAGACTACAAGTGAATCATGACGTCTCTTCAGTGACCAAGTTTGTTGCACTTCATGACTTTGCGGGCTCCAAAGATGCTTTCGCCGACTACCAGAAGAAGCGTGAGATATCTACATTGTTCCATGTCCACCGGGTCAATGATATCTTGGTCAAAGTGAAGTAAGGTTCCCACCCGCGGACCGCTACTAGGGACTGAAGCCCATTGCAAGTCAGCCGGGTATCTCGTATTCCACAACAGACTTCAAAGAGTCACGCTGATAGAAGAACTGAGAGTGAGTTTCAGTAGACTCTGGAAAAGCATTTTTGGAGGACCTCTTCTCGTCGTTGAATCAAAGTGGTGGAGCGGAGAAACATGACAGTTCAACTAAAGTTTACGGATGCAGCGCCGCGCCATGGCTTGCCCCAATCCTTGGACGCGACCCGTCCCAAAAGAGTATTCGCCCCAAAGCCCCACACCCGGGGCGTATTCCCCGGACCCATCCACGTGCGGAGGCTGCCTGCCCACAACATGATAAAGTGGTCGACCGCTGCACTGCGGTAAATCTTTGGCCTCAGCCATATCACCTCTATGTCCGAGCCAAGCCATGTATCATGTGAAGTCACTCAAGTCTGTCATGCCCTTTTGTAACAATTTCAACCTCTCCTGACGTCTCGTACAAACGTCAGGAGAGTTTGAAAGTCGAAAGTGCGTTGACATGAAATTCCAAGTCTATCAGGAGCATTCATTGTGTTTGATAGGATAAGCCTTGTGTACACTTGAGTTCACTGGCTCTTGTGGATTGAATTATGGAACCTCAGGCTCAAATCTCGCGCCTCAAATTACATGATACATGTGGAAGCAACGTCTTCATCCAGAGCTTTCATGATGAGCCGCAGAGGCCAGCCTGGTGTCTTGTCACACTCATTTCACACTGATATCTCATTCCGAATTTGCATACCAAGTCCTCCATATCGTTTCTGGGTTGACAGAAATCAGCTTCCTGAAGCTTTTGGCTTAGCAATTTTAAATTCATGTGCCAATCAATTACCTATACCACTTTCCTCATTCACCTTTGGTAATTAGCTGCGGCTCATCAGCTTACCCTAGTGAAGTAGGGAATGTTCATTTTTCCTTTGACCCATAGGCTCCTTAATCAATACCACGTTCAGTCAGCCTTCACTAAGTCTGGCTTGTGTATGGTCATTGAATTAAACAACGTCGCATAATTACTTGACTGATCATAGGTTGACAAAAACCCAAATCTGTCTTTGTATTGGTAGCTTTGAAAAGCGGAATATATCAGTCACTCCTGGCGGGGTCTTGTGAGACATGGACCCGAGAGTTCCTTCTTTACCGTGGCTCTGGAGGATTCGATCCACTTGTCCGGGGCCTCAAGGCAGATACGCCCTGTGACTTGGAGTATGTCATGAGACGGATTCGAGTCGAGACTGAGCTCCACACGTCAGGTGACCTCGCCGAAGGGCGCTGTCGATGGCCCGAATTGGCTCTCTAACAAGTGTGGCTGCCCTCGCGCCTTCCTCTCTAGATTTCCTCGCTATCAAAAACGAAGATCCACTCTTCCATCTCACCCACTACAACAACGGAAAGAACCGACCTGACAATTCCTTCCGTCTCAATTTTTCATTCCATCCTTTTCTGTCTCTTTCATCTGCAGAAGTTCCTAGCGAGGACGGGAACATTTTGTTCGGATGCCGAGCCCTAATTTAAATTTCACTTCACCTTCTTCTTTCGCCTTCAAGGTCACAACCAAGACCTTCTTCCTCTTCTTCTCGAACTCACTCTTCCTTCTGAGCTTCAATCCAATTACCAACAAGACACCGTTGTCGCCCTCTTCGTCGACGCCGCTGCCGTCGTCGTTGCCAGCACTCCCGAACGGCTTTTCATCCCTCCGTCTTCGCCCCAGATACTGGCGCATTCAAACCTGATTCCTCATCCGAGTCACAGGCCACAGACTCCTTCACCTCATTCCACTCACTACTCACAACTCGAGCAGAAAGAATAGCCAGCGCCGCATGATTCGGCCTCAGTGCCGCGCCAAACGCCCCAGCCAAGCTGTCATGAATCGATGTCCTTTCCGCCTGAATGCTGTCGGCGAACGAAGTAAGGATACCATTCTCACAGTACGGTCCGGTGGTACCCCAATACCGCGCTGCCAGGAGGATTCCGCGGTGTAGCCATTGTCGATCGAAAGAGTCTTTGCATAAATCCAACCGCCACGACGCCGCCGTGGCAGAGGAGAAGAAGCTCCACCACATGTAGCGAGCTTGCGGGCGATGCGAGGTGAGGAAGATGAGCTTCTGATTGTGGAGATGTTTGAGTTCTAGGAGACAACCGCCAACGTTGACCATCTGTGACATCACGGCCACGCTAGATTTATTGTCGAAAACGACTACCTTGTAGTCTTTGATCTCGCTACTATCCCATTCCTTCAGGCGTCGTGTTCTCGCTTCTTTTAGCTTTCGTTTAGTTTCATCTTCAAAGTGAATGTATGACTCCTCAATGGGCTCCAAGTCCACATTTGGAACGATTGCAATGTAACCATGAGCCAAAGCCCACTCGATGGTTTTGTGTAGGAACAATCCGTTGTTTGGATGAACCGTGAGGAGTATATCCATAAAATGGCAGGAGCCAAAGACAGCCGTTTTGTTGGAGCAAGTTTCGTTTGGAAACAGAATGGCAGCTCTGCAGTCTGCCACCTGGATCCAATTGTGCAGTATGGGGTCCCAATACCTAGATCTCCCAATACCGTAGATGGAACTAGGACAGTAGCTGTTGATCATCTGATCTTCGAATTGGCTTCGCATATGCTCGTCCCTAACTGCCATGCCGGTTGTCGTAATATTTCGTCTAAGATAGAGTCCTTCCAAGAAGTCGCTGGGTGGACTTTGGTCGATACTATGCCCAGATTGCATATCTTTTATTGTATCGGCAAGAATGCCGGAGAGCGCTTGGTGAGCCGAGTGTTTAATGACGCATGTTTGTCCATCTTGTGTGTCAATCCAATCGTTCCAGGCGTCGACCACACCTTCGGCTTTGGACACCAGGTACTTCAGATGGGCTTGGGCCGCAACACTGTGGGTGCGAAACCTTTCCAAGTTTATACAATCCATCAGAAATAGCAAATTATATTGCGGCAACTGATTGTTTTTGTATGCCTGTACTTTGAGGAATAATCCATGTCGTACTCGAAGGAAGTCGTCCTCGGAAAACCCCCCGAGAGGGTCGTGTTCCCAGTTGGCGGATTTGCTTTCGATTACAGTCGCTGGGGCCATAGTGACGGAATTGCTACCGATTGTGTGTATTGGTTTTCCAGGCGGGAATAGCAAAGGAGAACTAGACCTTTCTATATACACTTTCAAGAGGCTACCGGAGAAAGGTGTCTGTGCAGGGCGCGGCCCACGGCATCAAGGTCTTCTCTTCCAGACGACGCTACTTTGAAGTACAATCAGTCGGCCACGGCACCTCGTTGGCTGGATTGAACCTGAGAGCATGAAGTCGAAGGCGTCGGAGTAACTCAAGAACTAAAAATATGAGAGTACAAGCCGGTCATTCAGATGACTCTGGCTTTGCTGGTACTGTGTTCGCGGCCTAAAGCCCAGGCAGGCGTTCGGGCATTGATGCTCCCGTGAGCAGGGTTACTAGTGTCCGTTCCCAGCGTATACATCGCTTTGAACACATATCAATGAAATCGATGTGTCGTTGCAATGATTTTACTATGAGAATCTTCTGTCCCAAAATATCACGAATCGATATTAGACGGGGAAGGGACCCGGTGTCAAACCCACAGTCCAACGGAAGATGCGACCGCTTCATCGATATTCGAGCGCACGGGCTATTTTGTAAACTTCCCTCGCCTCACTCTTTTCCCTCATCACTTCTCTCTCTACTCAATCTCGACATTAGCTTGAGCTTACCTCTCTTACTTCGCTTCAGCAAGCCCGAATGCCAGGGACAGAAAGGGCACTGAGAGCCTCACATATGCATCGATATATGAAGATCTCTATGCTCGTCCTCCACGGTAAGCAGTGCTTCTTTATTATCACCTTACCCACGCCCCAGATTTCATTGTCCTGGGCCTCTGCGTACGTCTCTCATACGTAGAAGCTGCAGTTGTGATACCCAGAACTCATAGTCTTGGACAATACACATCATCTTGGATATTCATCCTCTTCATCAGAAAGCTGTGGGCGCACATCACTAACGATATGAATATGTAGATGCCTCCCACGCATAAGGGAAGGCAAGCCAGTCCTGGCCTGATCGCGTTCACCAATGCTACGACACCCACCGAGCGCTTTCCAGCTCACCAGTTGGAAGTCATTGATTTCTGCCTCCGCCAGACCGGATTCGACTTTCGAGGCTATGCTTGCGGCCCCGTTGGAGTAGATGATTGGGATGCCCTCAAGCTCCTTCACCTCGACTTCACACTTCCAACGGCCGATCCTAGCTTGACTACGACTGCATCTCGTCTTTGCACCATCATCCATGCTGCTTCTCAGTGTCTCGAAAACTCTGACTACGCCATCCGCGATGCAACATTCTGGCAGGAAGTGAAGAAGCTTCTGTCCGACGACAGTATCTTCCAAGCGGCTCCCACCTCTGACTTTGTCAAGTTCGACAACGTTCTTTACCGATATTACTCAGCATTCGTGACTTTCAAAGATCGGAACCCCGGCATGTCTCGCACGCTTATCAAGGAGCCTTATACTACCAGTGCCGAGAGCAAAGCGGTTCACCAGCTGCATCAAGCCATGTGTACATAGGAAGATATCATGGAACTCAACGGAACCACTGTCGAACCCCACATCTCCTCCAAGAACGAACTCCTTGCGGCAACGGATGAGTACATTCGTCAGACTGTACGTGGAAGAAGTCATAGCATCTCAATCGCCAGGCGTCATTTCAAAGCTGGATACCGTGCTCACCACAAGCCCAAGCTCTAGGAAACTTATACGGAAGATTACAACAAGGGAAAGCGCGAGGGTGAAAGTGCCTATAGGATCAAGCTCCAAGAATTGAGAGATCAGATACGGAAGGAAGAGACCGATTTGTTTGCACAAAACAGAATAACCATGGATCGAAATCGCCAGGTGGTACAGGAGAACAAAAGCATCACAAAGAAATTTGAAATCTGCAAGCTGAAAATTCGGAGCTTCGCAGACTAAACAAAGAGTTTGTTGAGCTTTGAGGGGCGTCACCAAAGCAGATCGCAACGGATAGGCCGGAGCAAAGCACTGGGAGGGACAGCATGGGTTTGCTTTCGGTGGAGTGATTGACCTGCTGGGTTAAAACTTCGATAATTGATTTCTGGGTGATAGTTTCCGGTCTTTGGACGATGGATCTCAATGCTGGATAAACGAAATCGAGGATTCTGGGCAGGGAACTCTCTGTAGGATAGGATGTCAGAGACAAAGACTTTCTACTCTTTTTTCTGCTTGCTCAAGTTGGTCACAGACCTCTAGGAATTGAACGTACTGCTTCTTGATACCATTCCCTTTGATACCACCTAGTCTTGATATGTAGGATGTCCAAGTTGGCTCTGATGTCATTCTTCGCGTCGTGCAGTTGGAACTGAGTTGCGGGTCATTTCTTTTCCCGTTTTTCCACGGCAAAAGAAAGCTGTAGTCATCTGCCCGGTAGTGTTTCGATAAACGTGTTTTGGGTCCCTATGATGGGTAGAACAACCCACTCACATTCGTCCCACCTTTTTACTCCTCGAGGTATCGAGACTCGTGGGCTCCGACCACGCTGCCATACGAAACGTATGTGCTGTCGCCTGCGAGATGGCCTTGGCTATCAGCAAGCTCATGAAGAACTATCACTAGCATTCGCTCACCGGCATTGCCTGACGATAGAGATCAAAGTAGACCGGCCTAGATGCGCCGGGATTATTCCAGAGCAGGTTCAACGATAAGCCCGAAGTTCAAAGTTTACAATTCCAGGCCTCTTTGTGACCGCCGCCATTTTGCGGCTAGCCATTCCGGGTATGCCGTTGATCAGACTTCTGGGTCCAGCCTTATTGTCTCGAAACGATCGACCTCGATGTCGAGCGCCACCCCGCCTCAAACCAGGACATCCCGTCCGTCCTGCATCATACCACCTACCTCGTCATTGTCCTAGCCTCTCGACCAATAGTCAACCAGGTACATTGCGCCTGCCATCTAATTCTTACCACATGGTTGAAGCCTGCTTGATGCAGAAGCCTAGCTCATGAAGTTGCCACGATGGAACGAGGCATTTCGAAGACTGAAAAAAGAGTAATCTTGGGTCTGGCTCCTGTTCTTCGTAGAGAAACACGCACATCGTATTCATCGTAGAGTAGCTCCACTACCTGCAATTTCCAAGAGCCGACAGACGCGGATCTCTCCTCTTTAGCCATTTCTTTCTGGCCCCCAACACGTTGGGCATCTCGCCCGAGGCTTCGGTCAAGCTTGCGACGTTCTGCGACTTGACGCCTAGGGCTCCGCTTTATGTCTCACTCTATGTCTCACCGTCCCCGCCTCCCTCGTTCGTGGCGCAAGACTTTCCCGTTGAGAAAAAGATCGTTCATGGTATGGTCACAAGGTTGCTGCTGGCTCTCTTAAGACACTAACATGCGCAGTGGCTCTGGTCTTCTGTCTGGTATTAATATCCTAATGAATGACTGTAGACACTGCTCTTAGCAACTAACAGCGAGACGCCCACGTCAATTGTGAATAGCTTCCTTCGGGTTTCGAGATGAAGGTCAGATCTGGAACAGCCTGCCGCCCTCCGTGCCTACTCCTGGCATCTTTCATCGAGACTGACGCCCGTCCTCGGTACTCTGGATGAGACAGCAAGAAAAACACCCTCACCACCAACATCATCACGCAAAATGAACAGGTGGTATCCAGGAGGCTAACCCCCGGCCCGCAGATCACTCATGTTCCCACCGTAGATCATGTCCCAACTGCCCTTAGCGCTTAGGACCGGCCCGCATGTCGATCAGTCCAGACTTGAACCCGCGATCCCAAGCTCTCCCGTTATTGCGCAACCACCTTCATTCGTCCGCCCCGCGTGGCACTTCAAGGCCGGCCGGCCATACTTGAAACCCCCGCACATGCAGGAGGTAAAGAGCGGGAGAGATTTTCGGCCAATAATGGATGGGCAGTATGACTTCGTTCTCTCAAAATAAGAATACTGCAGCTGAGGAATTTTGGAGAGAGGTGGGCCATTTTTGTGGTTCTTTTTCTGTGCTTTTTTTTTGCCCGTTCTGCATCCTGCATTTGGGCATGGGAACGAGGCCGTGACATCAGCAGCCAAACCACTCATCACCCAGGCTTGCGAAAGGGTTGCTTGTGCTACACAGCTCACGTGGATATCACAGGTAACAAAAACCAAGATTGCAGGATGCGCAAGTTTCCAGATTCAGTGGGACAAACAACGAAGAGTTTGCAGCACGACATGCGGCGCCAAAACCTGCCCGATTGCCAAACAACCAGGACAGAACAGGCCACCAGTTCAGACGAAGAAAAAGAGTTCAGAGAAACCTAATGCTGCGTTCTGTTTGTCAACCTCAGATGGTGATACCGCTGTGCACTCACACCGGCGAATCATGTTCGCATCAACGTGCGCTAGCGGGAGATGCAAACTGAAGCATGACATCGGAGGGATCTGCCAATCAGAAGACGAGGATGCCAACTGGCAACGTACGATGGCGAGACACCCTGAGCCAAGCATGCCGGTAATGACAACTGCCTGTTCCCATCATCATTGCCATCATCATTGCCATCATCATTGCCATCATCATTGCCATCATCATGGCACATTGTCTCGAGGTTGGCGTAGAGCGTGGCGGAAAGTGGGGGGCAAGAAAGCCGGTCTAGCCTTTGACATCGGCTCCGAGGGAAAGGGCTTCGGCCCCAGTAATGTTCAAAGTCTCAAGATAGATTTATTCAGATGAAATCTTCGTTTCTTTTGGGAGGCTCGGCTCTACAATCCGAGATTTCATGGGGAAAAGGGTTTGGTGAGACTGGCCGTTTTCATGTCCCCGGTTGGGCGGCAAGACGCATAGTACTGGTCTGACATCGGAGCACCATGTCCGTCGGACGGGTCAAGTCTTTTGTAGAGATCATCACTGTGATAGCAAGACATACATATTCGAGCCCAATTCTGGAGGAGCTTTACATGGTCAGGGTCCCGAAAGCTTAGACCTAGACAAACGGTGCACGTTGCGCGTGCCCGCACGGACTTGGCACCAGAGACAGAAACAGATCGGACATCAGAGAGCGATCGCGGAGGAATGTCATCTCAGGCTACTCTTTCTGCGCGCGTACGTTTGTAGACAGAAATACAGTATGCTCCTTCGGCACCTTGGACTGTTGTCTGTACAGACTGTAGAAGCAGGATGGTACTTGGCTTTCCATAAGCATAGCGGACCAATGCGAAGTATCCGGCATTGTACATCTCCTTCCGCTTTCGTGAACAACTGCTTCCATCCTTGACCATGCCGGTGATATACGATTGACAGAGGACTCATTCGATCTCAAGACTCAACTCAATATCCAAGGCGAGACACACAGCTTCGAGCCCAACATCGTGGCGACGGATCCATCAAAACAGGGAGAGGCTGGTTAGGGATCACGACCAAAACAGCGAAACACGCAGATTGGGGCCCAACAGGGGGGAGCAACTTGACCTTGGGATGGTTGAAGTCGTTCGAGAAGATGAACACGGCAGCACGTAATAGCACAGCATACAATTGGTGCCCAGGCAAAAGTGACAGACAGTCTGCGTGGCTTATCGCCAGATTCACAAGTACACCTTCTCGATTGGAGCCTTGTGGTAGTCGATATGAGGGTACAGATTCTCGGCTCTGCGTGTTACAACATCCCTCGTGCCGAGATCAGTACTGATGTCGTGTACTCCAACCTCCTCGTCGTTGTACTGACGCTGTCCCTACCACTTGGTGCCCAACCAGAAGAATCCGGCCCCCGGTGATGCGTCTGATCGTGGGAAAATTCGCCTTCGCCGACGGTCACGGCAGAGGTCTGGATGACAAGCACCTTCGACGACCGCCTCACTTCTCGACACCAGCCATCGTTTACAGCCGCGATACGTATTTATAGATGGTATCGACTCTCACAAAGAACTCTCTCGTTCCAGCCATCAAACAATCTAGTCTCACCATCCTCTCACAGTCATCCTTCCATTCTGGACACCTCCGTCGACCATCACTTACAAGATGTCTACCTCCAACAACCACCACACGCCTATGAAGCAGGCAATCGATGCGGTACACGCAACCCACCCTCCCGCGGGACAGAGAGGCTACCCTTTTTCCCTTCCGCAGCGTAACCTCCTAGTCATCGTGCTGGGCGAGTTCTGCGGAACATTCATGTTCCTGCTCCTCTCCTTCCTCGGAGCCCAGACCGCCATCGTCACAAACAACCCCGACGATCCGACAGCTACGCTCTCCCCCGACAGCTTGCTCTACATCGCCGCAGCCTTTGGCACAGCCATCACCGCCAATGTCTGGATCTTCTACCGAGTCAGCGGCGGCATGTTCAACCCTGCGGTATGTTACACGCAGTCATCTCCCATTCTCTCTACCTCAAACACTCCCTAACGTCCCCATGACAGGTCACCCTCGGTCTCGTTCTCGTCGGAGCAGTCAAGCCACTCCGAGGTCTCTGTATCGTACCCGCCCAGCTGCTCGCTAGTATCGCTGCCGCTGCCGTGGTATACGGAGTCCTCCCCGGCCCTCTCCGCGTCGCCAACACCCTGGGCGGCGGCGCCACCGTGCCCCAGGGCTTCTTCATCGAGATGCTCTTGACCGCCCAGCTCGTATTGACGGTATACTTCCTCGCCGTCGAGAAGCATCGCGCGACTTTCCTTGCACCCATTGGCGTCGGCATCTCCGTCTTCATCGCCCACATCACGGCTACCAACTGGACCGGCACCTCCATCAACCCTGCTCGGTCCTTTGGCCCTGCTGTCATTGTTGGTTTCGTCGAGTACCACTGGATCTACTGGATCGGTCCCTTTGCTGGTGCCCTCCTGTCATTCTTGGTGTATGCCTTGTTCAAGTGGCTCGAGTACCAGACTGCCAACCCCGGGCAGGACGACGATATGGAGAAGGCTCTTCACCCTGCTCTTCCTGTTGACTCGGCGCACAGCGGTGGAACTGAGCTTACTGGCGAGCACGCCAAGGTCTAAGCTCTGATAATAAGGGAAACTCCAGTGCTATTCAACGCGCCTGTACACAGGCGTATGCGCTGGTAGATGTAAACTGTATGCTGGATCGTACCTGGCAAGTTTGGCTTGTGGCAAAGGGGGTAAATGAGAATGGATTTTTGCAGATTGTAGATACACGTAGTGCTAGATTACCTGTTCAAGTTGGTGAGATGTTATCGAGTAAATGAAGTAAGGTCTATTGAAGGAATACTTATCCGTGCGTCTCTTCTTTGCCCGCAACGTAGTTGTCCCTTCGACCTTCCAGTCTTTTAGTGCTCTCGTTCGATGAGTGCCATACCTTGGATCCGAATGACGGGAATATTTATCAAGTACTAATCTTCAGTAAGAGATTCCAGTAAGAATTTGGATTCATTGTGTCTGTCACGGACATCAGATGTGCTCTCACAACTTTTGGTCGCTTCCCTGCAGTGAAATGGTTTGGTGAACATGGGACATGGGGACCTCAGCTGGGGACTGTGGTTAATCGAATTCGGAATATTACCGTCTTTCTCAACTTCGCGTGAATCTCTTGGGCCATGATCGACAGAGAAAGTCCCGTTGTTGGACCAAATCGTCGTTCTTTCGAGTCACGTGACAGCGGTGCTTACCTGAGTAAATGATGCTATCACGAAGATGACTTGTTTCTTTTTTGATCACCTGGACCATGCTGACGCTGGCTACCGATGTTTTATTTGAGAAATCGCGGGGTAAGTTTGGGAAAGGCGACCTTGAGCTTGAACGGTGCTTGCCTTTACTTCGTACCTGACTGTCTTTGACCTTTGGAGATCCGTTTTCACGTGAACCTTCTTCACCTTAATGAGTTCCACATATCCCAACCCGTCCTGACTCCCACCTAGTTCACCTTGAAGTCAACGAATAGGAGGAAAATTTTCGTACCCTTCTCTCTATTTTTCCTTCTTCCTCACTGGTCGCAACCTCCTTATTTGCGTGAGCTCGACTCGCGACCTCGGCAACTCTGACGAGATGGTGTTGTCCAACATAGTCGAAGACCTCGGCAAAGGCGCATACCCAGCCATTTCAGAAGTCAAAGAAGACATCGTACAGGCAAGTGTACAGCAGGGCAACGATGGAGTCAAGGTTCCGTCGGTGACACCCATCAGCGATCATGCCCTATTTGTTCCACGTTATGATAAAGGCATGAAAGATATCACAGCCGGCGTCGGCAAACTACAAGTCCATTACGAATTACTGAGTCAAAGGTTGTCGTCGTTCGGAACGAGGCTCAGCACTGCCGAGAAGAAACGCAAGAAGCTGGTCAAGGTCTCGAACGCCGTGGAGAGAAAAATCGAGGCCAGAAGGGCAGAAGTCCAATCACTGGACATCAAGTTTCTATGCGAAGGGATTAAGGACCGGGATTTGGATCTCTTACTTGAGATGGAAACTTCGGAGCTTTGGGGCGCCAAGACCAGGAGGAATATCCAAATGGAGAAGATCGACAAGAAACTGGACGAAATCGATCGCTTCATTGAGGCACACGAAGCAACGTAAGATGCCTCACTCTGCCCTTTGAGATTCATTCCGCTAACACTAAAGCACAGACAGCGCAGCCTCGACGATATAGTCAAAATCCCACACAATTGAACTCTTCATCTCACATCGCAGCCATAACCCCAGCAGCTACGCCAGCAACAACACCAGCCATAGCTATGCCAGTACACTTTGGCACAGCATCGCCCTTGGAAGTCTTTGTCGCCGCCGTGTTATCCTGCCACGCCTTCTGCCAATCAGAAACATACGAAGAAACCCACTTGTCGTCCTTGTCCGGCACATTGTCCTGCCACCACTTGGCCTCCTGCTGGGTGTCCAAGCTGAACCCGTTCACGGCCATCGAGGCAACGACGTCGGGCGCGTCGGTGGCCTTGGCGGCGGCGGACCACATGTGGGAGTAGACCGTCGTCCACTCCTTGTCGTTAAAGTACTTTTGGTCGACGCTGTACAGGGCCGTTGCGAGGGAGGTTGCCACGGCGCCGGTGAGGGTGCTCGGGACGGATTTGACATGTTGGGAGAGGTATTCGTCGGCGGCTGTGGAGGTCGGGAGAGTGGTGCCGAACCACAGCTGGGCGAAGGCGGTTGGCGCGATGGCCGTTGTGAGGGAAATAAGTTTGAGGAGATGCATAATTGAGTGAGGTCCAATCGGGAATCTAGTCTTGAACTGTGCGATTTTCGGCTCGTGATAGCGCTCTTTCTGCTTTGAGTCAACTGTTGTTTAGAAATGGCTTCAGATGCCGAGAAACCCCGCCGAAAGGGCCAGTGACAAAGAAGGATACCACTTCCCTTTAAATAGTCTAAGTTCGCGAACTTTCACTCTGAGCCAAAGCAAACGCCAAGAAAGAATCCCCCATTTCTTCCTCATTGTTTCACTGATGACTTGTTGGCGGACCATTTGTTTGCTGTGCCGTGGTGCCTTGCGGCACAGCAGCATGTCTGCTGCCTAAATTTGCGATACAATTTCTCTCGAGTCACGAAGCTAAAGCCAGGAGGATTAGCTGCTTGTAGATGAGATGTTACATTGAGGAGACCGTGGGGAAAGTACCTTGCACTAGCTCTCGGCCATCGGGCTCCCTTGAATCCTTCTGTGGCCGGGCGTGGTTAGCTTTCCTGACGTGTTTTTTCAGCGATGCTACCGTCGGGAGGCCGGTGTGTCACCCCACTCCGGTCGGCGAGCTGGAACGAGGAAGTGGGGCACGTTCGGGCGGGGGGCCTCGGCCTGGGGCCGATGGGACGTGGTTTTCGCTAGCATTGACGCTCACTCGCATGAAACTCAATGCACCACAGCTTCCGTCATGTTTGCAGTATAGCTCATCACTCATTTGACCTCTCGACAGAAGTTTGGAGGGATTCGTACGTTCTGAAGACGATTTGGCCTCAAAAAGAGCGATCCTAGTCACATGCTCGCGATCTCATCACATGCCTCCCGTGATCTATCATGCCGAAATTTATAGATTGCCCTTTGCAGAGAAATGCCCGGCATCAATGCGAAAGCACTGATGCCGTCTGCGGGACTCAAATCAAGGAAATCAGGTGTGTACACCGTTCACAGATGATGCAGGTCTAGCCGACGAGGCGAGAGTCGTGTAATGATCTCCCAGCTTGATAAGTACATAGTCGAGACTAACAGGCTCCCAGAGCTCCTCGGGCGGAAACTGAATCACCTTGACTTTTTTCTTGCTCATCACTCACCAGATTCCGTGAGTGATCTCCCTTGATCATAACCTGATGTCGGAATTGACTTGGCGGAGAATGGACCAACCAATCAGTGGAAGTCGTAAGCGAAGATCGGTGGCACAAGGTACTTGGGTATGAGAGAGTGGATTTTCAGACCTTAAGCATCTTAGGTCCCTGACTGAAATGCATCATGTGAGAGAAAGAAAGAAGAAATATGACTTCTCTTTGCTTTGATCGCCGTAATCAGCTCCTGATATCGCTGTTCTAGATTCTTTGCTTGGATGCAGCCGGTGAGAGGAAGCATCAAAAAGAGTGTGATGCGGAGCGGTTCCGCGATGCCAAACCCCTCATAACCCTTACCAAGGAATTGAATCGACGTTGCGATCTCCTGATTCGGGCTTCCATAGCCCCCGTGGGGTAAGGCAGCCAAGCTGTCAAGTCTGCCCAGTTTGCCTTGTGACTTGACTTTATTACCTAACTTGCATTTCAGCTGCCAAGGAGACTCGCTCTTGGGTTTATTCCCGCGCTGAAAGTTTCTTGGCCGCTCCTCGTTGCAATTCTTGGTCATGCCGGCATCCGAGCTGTCCGCCCTGTCAGGGCTGTCTCGATTATCTCACTCGCGGATATCATGGTACTCTTTATATTTCGCCAGCCCTACGCGGTTCCTACTTTGTCAGAGTTATACTTCTTTCCACAACCCTATCGCCATCATTTCAGAAGAAGGGGCCTAAAGCTTCCTTCAGTCCATCGGGCACCATGGCTTCCCTATCCGCTCTGGCAGAAGACATTATGCACGGCATATGCGAATACCTCGATTTACACGAGATCCTTCAACTCACCCTCACTCAGAAACGCTTCGCAACATCATTCGAGCGTAGTCTCTTGCTGCACCGCGACCTAGCATTGCAAGGATACGGCGCAATGATGTCAGCCATCATCAACAAAAACGTCGGCAAGGTTGAGGAGCTATTGAAACTCGGTTACGATGCGAACTTTGCGCAGGAAACGCAAGCGCTTGCCTGCCCAGCCGACTTTCCCTTCCCTGTCAACAATCTGACACTTCAAGCCCCATCAAATGTGACCGTCAGACGCGGGACCTCGGCATTTCTCGCAATTGAACGCCTGTATCGCCCCGCCTGCGATTCACACAAGATCTTCATATCCTACTCCGTCCTAGCCCACGCCGTCTTGGAGGACCAGATTGACATCGTCAAACTCTTACATAAAAGGGGCGCAAACTTGGAGAACCCGCTGCTGCAAGCCTTTACGTTTCGTGGCACGCCAGTGGACGTTGATCACCAGATCAGTCTCTTGCACCTGGCGAGCAGCGGTGCCATGATCGAGACTCTTTTAGAGCTTGCTCCGAACATCCCTATCGACAAGGACAGATGCTTGCAGACAGAACCGCTGCTCCTCTGGCATGTCGATAGAGGCACTGATATCAAAGGCCTCCGTCGATTGTTGGAAGCGGGCGCTCATGTGGACGGGGCACGTCCGGCAACACAGCGACTTCGATTTTGCCAGTGCCAGGAGGACGGCACGCTTCACGTCTTCCTAGACCATCAATCGCCGCTCGAGGCCGCCATCTGGAACTTGGACCGGGATGCCGTTGAGCTTTTGCTTGAACGCGGGGCATCAATGGTATATCCGCCCAATGACGAGGGCGAAGTAACTTGTTTGCACGAAGTAATCAAACTCTTCCTCATGGACCATAACCCTGATGATCTAGAGGTCAGCCAAGAGATTTTTCGCCTCCTTCTCGACCGAGGGTTCGACGTTAATCGCGAATACACCGAGTCGACGGGGTGGACAGAAGAGGGTACGCGCTGTCACGTGCCGACAGCAGACAAGGTCAACTTACTGATGGAAGGCCTGATCAACCCCGTATCGGCCGAGATGTTCCAGTTCCTCCTTGATGCCGGAGCGGATCCGTATAACGCCTCGCCTGGCATACCAGCGGATGAAAGTCGCCCGATCCTGCTCGGCTTGTCAGCCTCAGTGATGAGTCTTCCCACCAGAATAGCCGAGACAGAAAGGAGCTCGTTGCAAATCACAAAGCTCAAAGCCCTGCTCGCCAAGAGGGCAGATTCCACCGGCTTCGACAGGTATCTCTTGTTCGTAGCTGCCCTGGATATTGTGGCACCGGCGAAACCGTGGCAGGCGTTTAAAGTTCTTCATGATGTCTTCGGCCCGTTTACTGAGGCCATGGATAGAAGTCTCCTCGCGGACTACATGCACAACGTCACAAAGACCCCAGGAGTCCTTCACGCGGCCGTGCAAATCATTGAGCTCCTCATCAGCTGTGGAGCCTCCATTAACGGCACCAATGCCAAAGGCGAGACGGCTTTGCACGTTGCCTATACCCTCACAAAGACAAGTCCGTTGCCCATTGCGGAAATTAACGACGTACTGGCGTGGGACCTTGATGAGGAGCAGGGTTTCACGGTGGGCTGGGCTATCGGAACAAACACCATTGGACAACAGACCATCAATGAATTCTTGAGCGGGCTCCTTAGTGGTCCGGCGGAGGTAGAGAAGCGGGCGAAAAACGCGACTGCAATCTTTGACATATTGATCAAGGCTGGAGCGGATCAAAGTATTTTGAATGACAAGGGGGAGACGCCGGCAATGGTGATGGCTCAGCAAGGTTGGCTCCAGCTACCACCTTCTCCCGGTTCTGATTCAGGAAGGGTGCCTATGGCTGAGGCTAAATCGGACTCAGCGCAAGACGAGAATATCTTATCTAGTGCCTTTGCGATCTATAAGAGGCTTCAAGAACTCGCTGCGGCGGGGTCGCTTGCTACTTAGGCTGTTAGCTTACTACAAGGCGAAACTTGTATTCCATTGCAAAATCTTCATGATATGAGAGCTTCATGACCATTTCATTCTAGTCAGCGCGTTACCTGGACTCCATTGAGATCCTTTCAAGTTCTTTCGTCTTCGAAGATCTGGGTTGAGCGTCATTGCTTGTACAAACGTCGTGCATCCCTTGGATAGGATAGGAACATGCTTGTCGCACATCAAATTGGTTTAAAACCCGGTCTCTTCACGTATCCAGAAGAAACTTTTTGTTGTCTTGGTCTACAAAACATGGGTTGGGAGGATATGTCAAGGGGCTGGACGCAGCAAATTCTGGCATAGGAGTACCTTTAGTACTTAGGTAGTTTCGATTCATCTCCCGGCGACTTTATCGCCGAACGCCGGTGCGGAATCGGTGGAGACTGGTATGTGGAGCCGTTCCGCACAGCCATAACAGGCCTAGCGGCGCACCCGCTGACCAAATTAGGGAAAGCCCACATCACTCGGTTATCCGCTCAATCTGGGGCGACTGCTCTTCATTTCCATGGCTCTCTGGCGCGCATTCACTCGATGTTCTTGGCATTCGTCCTGGCCGTTATTCCTCTTTGCATGTTTTGTAGCACTCAATGACGTACGGAAAAGAGTGCCTCTTCTGTTTTCTAATGACCATCCGAGCAGCTTGAACAGTCACCAGCTCCACTGACCTTAACGTGCCGCCAAAAGCTTGGCTCCAACGGTCTCCGTCTCGGCTCGACAACACCCATGGAATCCTACTCTTCCCGCCCCAAAAAGACTGACATTGTTCGCAAGCGAACAGGGTGTCAGAATTGCAAAAAGAAAAGAAGAAAGGTCACCACGCATCCCTCCCTTCCTCCCTCATCTACCTGCCGTTCCCCTTGGTTAGTGAAAAGTCCTGATCAACTGACTCGTAAGCCAGTGCGACGAGACACGCCCGGAATGCCTTGCCTGCGTTAAGAAAGGAGTGAAGTGCAGTGGTTATGAGCGCTCCGTGACCTTTAGAGACGTCACCACTCGGGCTGCCGAGTCTTCGAGGAAATTCGAGGAGGCTAGATGGGCTGCCCTACGTCTCGAGGACGAGCAAAGAAAACGTCGCCGCCTCAACTCAACCGGGGAGTCGTCGCCTGCCCCTCGGGAGCCATCAACGTCGGAAGATGTCATAGAATTACCGGCGAGAGATGGTCCGTTGGCAGCTCCGGCTCCGGCACCTTTGCCCCCATGGCACTCCACGAGCGCCGAGGGCTGGCTCGCTGGGTCCTTCACGTTACCGTGGCCACTTTTCGACACTTCTGCTGGTTCCTCCACGGCGCAAGATGCATCTCAACAACAGCACGGAACGCCACAGTCAAAGATCAACTCGGTTGAACTAGGGCAACCTACGCCGCTTGAGGACCCTGCTAGCCGCTTGATGCTGACAAGAGGGGAACCAAACAGCTCGACACCACCCGTAGAAGCCCCAAGCCCTGCCTTGACGACCGGTTGGGACGAGTTCCTCGTTACCGACGCATCATCTCCAGGGTCCTCCACGTCTACCTCATCCCCCCTAGGTGAACCGACAGTAGACTGTCAGATATCGATACCTCTTGAGGAGGTTCTCATTCAACACTTCGATAGGAATGTTCTGCCATCGATACCAGTTGCCCTCTCCTTCCCGAACCTCTTCCGTCAGAGCAGCTGCTTTCGGTCGGCGGTATTAGCCCTATCCGCCAGCAACATCAAGCTGACGCAGCCACTTCCCATTGACCCGCTTGTCCTTCGCCGGGTATGCGACGACAGCAGCGTCTGGATCTACTACGACACAGCCGTTAAGGGGCTCCAAGCCCAGCTTCAAAACGTGGAAAATCAACGCGGCGAAGAACTCGCGGGCGCCGCTTTACTGCTTGCATACCACGAGTTGGAAGCCGGCACGGCTCTGGGTATCAGGAACCACGCCACTGGTCTCGACGCCATCGCTTCCAAGCTCGACTTTGCAGCGTCGTCTATCCCCGACCTATTCAAAGCTTGGCGAATGCTTCGCTACGATGTCCGGTTCATGATGACGCCGACGCGATCGAGTTGCAACGCCGTAGATAGTTACGATATTTCGAGCTTACTTGACCCGCAACTAGCCATTCGGGATATCCTATCCAGGCTACATGGCCTTCATGCACGGTTTGCAATGGAGGCTTCATTCAGCCAAGATACCACCGTCGACGGCAGCAGCGCGTCAGAAAAGGTTGCCATGTGGCTGATATCTGTCCTGGGCCGCGAATGTGACCGTCGCAACGTCCGTCTCAAGGACTTCCACAAGGAAAACCTCACACAAGACACTATATTGCGGCAGTGTGATGTCTTTTCTCACAGGTTGGATAACTGGCACAGGGGGCTTTGCACCCATGACATGCCGGTCGTCAAGCTCGGTACGGACTCAGATCTGATTAGCGGCGCCACGTTTGAGACTTTCGTTACCTACCGCTTCGGTGACACGCGAAAGGCTCTCGAGTACGTGATTTATCTCGTCTGCAGGATGACGTGTAGTTATCTCCGCTCTCTATTCGACCCGTCTGTCCAGTCTTCTGGCACGGATGCCCTAGCCAAGGTCATTCTTGGCATCGTATGCGGGATGAACATGCAGCAAAGACAGCAGTTTACTGTTCTCCGGGTGGATGTCCTGCTCAGAATGGCTGCGAGTTTGTCAGAGGGCACGAACTTCATCACCACCGTTCTCGACTACTTGCTTCCCAGGCTGATTTCCTCAGGTCTCACGGGTCCTGACATCGTTGCGTGGATTTACTTGAAGTCGGCGTTAGAGCTCGAGCTGAGAGAGAGGAGGAAGGGCCGTGCAATAAGGATGACCATTGATGGAGTCGAGGAAGACTGTGAGATGTGGCAGTTGGTGAACAGGCATCCTGTCGCTGCTTTTGGGGACTACAATGGCAAAGGGTACTTTCGGGACTGCTATGTCATCGAATGTCTAGGCTGAAAGACATCCGTTGAATATGATCAATAATATCTTTGTTCCAAGCACTCTGCAGTCCTTTCGTGACTAAACCCTCAGTACGCATAAAACAGAATATTCTCGTTCTCGGATTGCCGGATCTTTTTGTTCTCACTCTTGAGCCAGAGCCGCATCGCCCACGCGCCCATGGCAGTAGCAACACTGAGAGCCGCGCTCGAAGACATCGCCATGACATATCGGGGCTCGTCGGACTTGGGCCACATATACGGTGTCCAGATGAATGATGCGACGGCAATGCAGTTGACGATGGCGAGGGAAGACGCCTTCTTTTCCTTCGTCTGGGAGCAAGTCGCCGAGACCCACCCTAGTATGATTGAGTTCACTGCATACGTGCCGACAGAGAAGACGACCATGGAGACTGCTTAATTAGTAAGCCTCTGAGGAGGTTGCGAGGGAGCTTTACTCACAGTATCTGGCACCCGTGTTGAGGGTGGCACAGCCAAGGATGAACCCGAACACAGCAACCGTCTTTGCTATGGTGATGTGCCTTTATTTACAATCAGCTTCAATCAGTCAATTCTGATCACTAGTTCCGGACTGACCAAGTGCGTTCGTTGAATCTTCCCGAAGACCAAGACCATGCAATCGATATTATTCCAGCAATGAAATACGGAGGGCAAGTAAGCACCAAAGTAATCGTCTCATCAAAGCCCAACGTCTCAACAGCAGTCGGAAAGAAGTTTTTGAAGCCGTTGGCGCCAAGGTGGCAGTGCTGCATCACGGTGAAGAGCCAAACCTTGGGATCTTTGGCAGCCTCGAAGAGACCAGACCAAGTAGTCGTCTGCCCAGTGTTTCCGACAGTATCTCGTAGGATACGCTCGTTGGCCAGAATGCGTTCTTCAGGGGTGAGCCATCGCGTCGTGAGTGGTTCGTCGGGCAGGATGAAGAAGGCTATTATGGCGATGATGAACGTGACTACGCCCTGGATGATGAAGAGCCATCTCCAGCCTGCGATGCCGGCCTAGTCATTTGTCAGACTTTGTACTAGAATATTGGGACGTTGAAGACGAACCATCCCGTGCATCTGGAAGATTCCTAGCGCGATCAAGCCAGCAAATGCCGTCGCGAGGATATTCCCGTATACAGGATTGATATCCTCGTCGCCAACTCTTTGCGGGTGTAGAACGTGGCGAGAACATAAAGAGCACCGGGGTAGTACGGAGCTTCGGTAATGCCGAGGAAGAAACGAGTGAGTAGCAGGCCCGTGTAGTTCTGGCTGACTGCCGTGAGGGCGCTGATGATGGCCCAGACGCCCATGCAGGAGCTCATCCAGAGGCTCGGGCGGACGCGTGTTACGACCATGTTGGCGGGAATGCCGACGATGACGTACCCGACGAAGAGAATGGAGACGCATGTTTGGTATTCTGTCGAGGAAAGGTTGAGATCTTCTTCGAGGGTGTTTAGTCTCGCTAGGGCGATGGCATTACGATCCTTGAAGATATGTTAGAGATTTCCATGAACTGTCTTAGGGCTTGAGCGTTCTCACCAAGTAGTTGAGCCAGTACATGAACCTCGAATGTTCGTTAGCAAAGATGTGCGATGGGCAGTGACGGGATGATTAGTAGACCAAGATTCGTCGGTTCGACGGCTGGCGAATCGAAGATATGGTGACGGGTACCGAGGTTCGAGGGAGAAAGTCCCTGAAAGCCAAACTTCGATATGGGGCACCATCTTACCAGAGAATGGGCATGATCATCCAGTCGAGCCGGCGTACTAGTGCAATTTCGGCTGGGTCATACTTCGCATGTGCTCCAGCGTAGTCTCGGACGTCAGGAGTAACTTTAAGAGCCTCCTCAATTTCAGCCGGGATAAAAGCTGGATCTTTGCTATTAGGGTCGGCCTTTCGGTTGTTGAACGAGAGTTTCATGGCGGCGGAAGTGGCCGAGAAGGTTCACGAGGCGCCGAGGGCAATCTTTGATAGTCAGAGTTTGAGCTGACAGCGGGAGAGCCGGATGCTAAGCCCAGACAAAGAGAGGTGAGCATTTATAGCTTTCTGGACCTCCCAGTAAAGGACATATAAACACCACCATCACACCTTCATCTTTTGCGGCGTGCCGCTTTCGCAGGCCAAAAGTTGCAAGCCAGCTTCCCCGCACTGCCAAGCATCTTATCGAAGGTGTCATGACAATGGTGGTGGCCTTGGTCCCAATCCTGCGTCTTAGCGCATCGTTTGCCTCATGATGTGCGAGAATCGGAATGAAATATGAGTGGTGAGGAGAGACTTGGAAGTCTGGGCAACGTCTTGGCGGGGCAGGGACACATCTCGGCATCGCGAACGGCGAGCACTGGGAGTAGTCGTGGCAATCGAGTAGACTTATCATGAAGCAAGCCGGAGTCTGGTCATAGAAAAAGTATTCAGTTCTAGAAAAATAATCATTTCGCTAAATGAAGCGACGGGGATGTCACGACGCGAAGGAATGCAGTTGGAATAACAGTGTGGAAACAGGGTCCATTACATAATCGTGCCCGCAAACCTTCTTTTCTGGACGACCCACCATCCATCCATCCCAAACAGTGCTTCGGGGCGTGTAGGTGTGACGTACCGGGCAGTACAACAATGTTTAATGATACAGGTCCTTTTTTAAGTGTTAGTGCGCCTGAGAAGTGAGATGCGAGCGGCACGAAGTCGATGCCTGCATTGACATTTTCGATCGAAATATCCCGGGGATGCCTGTATGTATGTAGAATGGGCGGTTCCGGAACATTGTGGCGTCGCAAAGCCATATATACAGCTTTTGCTCTCAGATTTTCGCCATCTGATGAGACTTGTTCTGATCTAGTATTTACGAGTGCCTCGTAACGAAATGAGAAAGAACTTGATTCTTTGGTGGCAATTTATTTTTGAGGTCTTGAGTTCGGGCCACCCTCAGACTTTGAGTTTTTTCAATTTGTCTGTCCCCTATCACCTTCAATCTCATATTGACTGGTTCATTAGATAAGGGTGCTAAGCGGACTGAATGCATTTTACTCAGCTCACCATTGAGAGAAACATCGGGCTGCTAGATGACTACTTTCTCGACCTTTACTGAAAGCTAACCCGTGACGACTGCTCACCTATCCACCGTCACTTACAACAACAGCCGGGTCTTCTTTTTGTAGATTCACTGCATTTTAGTTGTATCTTCCGATAGATGCGGTTAATTTCCCATGCTGTTGAAACTTTCCCGTCATAGATTCAAAGTTCATTGTAAGCATCTCCACAAAACCTATCTTTTAACTCGCCACCCTCTACCGGAGTCTCGACCTGCAGACATACTGAAGAAACGAAACATGCGGCAGATTATATGATACTTAACGTTGAGACTTTTTTCAGACTTCAGGTAGACCCATGAATGCATGACCAGGAGGTAGGAAGCGAAAGCGGGGAGTGAAAGCCGAAACTTTCAACTGTGGCAGGAAGCTCAGGCAGCATTTGCCGTTCTTGACGGTACGAGCCAGAGCCTCAGGAATTTCGCGTAGCCTCGAGGCTACATGTGGAAATTATTCCTCTCATTTGTCACCATCGGACGAGGAGACCTCGTGGCGCAACAGTTGGGACTGCTCACTCCCGGTTACAGCGCCACCAGCTCGACCCCCGGTGCTTTTTGAAGGTCAGGGGTTCGAATGCCTCTGTGAAATCTCTTTTTCGACGTTTTCTTTTTAATATTTGTGAAACCAAAGTAAGGGATGCTAATGCGTGGCAAATAGTGCTTAATTTTACATTTGTCTAATGATTATCTTGTCCATGTCGATGTTTCATCGTTTCTGGGCATGGTGGAGATTCACGTATAATGGCATATTCATTTCTTTGTTTACTTTTGTGTATTCTGATGCCTGACACAGCCATATTTCTGGTGAGAAGCTCTTCCCAACCCTCAACGTGAACTTTTCACTCACCTGACAGATATCTCACAACAAATCTGAACTTGCCCAAAAGAACGAGCCCATCTTGGCCTGGTCTCCTGAATGTTCCCCCCTTCGACTCTTTTCTTTTATCAACTTCTCCTTTATTCCAACCGGGGCCTTGAGCATTAAAATAAAGAAAAAACATTACCAGCTAGCTACCAGCTCAAAAGCATCATGGCTCCTCATAATCGCCCTTGGGTCAAAGCCATCATGGACCTTCCAGGCCTCGAATTCTACGTCAAAGGCGATGAACCCCTCTTCAATCGCAGAGTCAACGCCGTCTTCCTGAAGCTATTCGCCAACAATTATTCTGTCTACAGCAGAGATCATGTTGCTCTTCGCCAGCATTATATCGCCAATCGGGGCAATGCCCTTTTCCGTGCTATTGTCAACCTTCACATCTCCGGCAAACATTCGAACTTCAGCACCTTGTATGGCGCTGCTCTCACTGGCCTCTCTGAAGACTCTGGATATTCCCGCGATTGGAATGATTCTGATGAGCTCGGGATCGACTCAGTGATTTTCGTCATCGACCGCATTATTCGCGCCCGCCTTCAGCACCTGAGAGCCAACGACACTAATATCGACGAGCCTAACCCTGTCATTGAGGCCTTCCTTGCTACTCTCGATGAGTGGATCGCGGTTCTTGGCGAACGCAAGATGAAGGCTGCCATTCCCTCTGAATCCGACGCGTCTGACAGCAGCCAACTCTCTCTACCGCGCCCTCCTCATCCCGACAACGCCGCTACTGCCTCCGCGTCCAAGGCGTCTATTGTAAATCAGATCATTCTGCCTTATCGTCCCATTCCTGAGAATGGTTCGGGTGAGTCAAGCTTCGCTATTAGATCGAAGTCATATTTCGAGGCTTTCCACTGACGTACAACAGGTAAGCCAGAGCAGGCCAAGTCCAGCACCCAGGACAGCCATGATCAGACGATTCAGGGCTTGCGATTCCAGATTTGGGCAGCTCAGGCAAAGTCCGACGAGCTGGCGAAACTTGAAATCGCCCGTCGTGAAGAGCAAGAAACTCTTGAACTCGTCAACGAAGCACTCCGAGCTGAGCTCGATGAGGCGAAGAATGCCCGCCGTCGAATCTGGTAACTGGAGGGTACAGCGAGCCAATATCAACACAAAGAATGGAGTGAGGTAGAGGCTGGATGGCTGAATTTGGAGGTAGTCCCATGCTCTCAGTAAACTAATCCGTCAGATGTGATTATCCTCCTACGCCAAAAGAACATTTGCATAACTTATGATGGGTACTATGGAAAAAGGATACCCTGCTGAGATCTGCCTTGGTGACTGACGCTTTCCCCTTGTAATGGTGACACCTACTCACTGGACGCCATCTTCGTCGTCGACTCAAATGTCTTGTTCCTTCTGCTAGGTTTCTCCGACACCTGCAAGTGTTCAGTCACCTAGCTCGTGGCTGCTTCTCTCTAGGATGTTTGTGTGGTATCAAAAGGTAAAAGTGGCACGCCTACCGGTACTAAGCACAAAAATTACCCTAGAGATATGGCTGATCCTACGTGTAAGTTTACATGATGCCTAGACGTGGCAAGATTAGGCGGGACTACATAAGTAGAAAAGGGTACGCTAGCTGGAATCGAACTCAGAACCTTCAAAAAATGAAGTCACCGGGGGTCGAGCACCTTGCGCTGTAACCGGGAGTGAGCAGTCCCAACTGTTGCGCCAAAGCGGTCTCCTCATCCGATGGTGATGATTTGAGGAATCTACCGACCTATAGACCATAGGCGGTGACTGTATGGCTCCTCCCAGCAGACTACGTTCCCCACCTCATAGCCTTACGTTCACCATCGTGTCCCTTAGGTTCCCTCTCCTTAACCATCGCGCAGATTCCCTTTCATTCACCTTCACATAGGCTCCCTCCTATTACCTTCGAGTAGATTTCCATTCACTCTCCCTCCCCTCGTACCTCCGTATTGTATACCTTAAAACACTTATCTCTCGCACGTCTGTCATGCTCTACTTCCCTCTTTCTTCCGTATTTCAACCTACTCGAGGAGAGACGCGCGTCAAGAGCTTCTCCTGAGTCCTTGTATCTCTCTTGTGTACCTTCCTCATCCTTCATATCTGGAACCTCTGTTGTGCTCTGCTTTCATCTTCCTTCTCTATTTCAGTCTCTCAATCTAGCCCAGAGAAAGACGTCTCGACTCAAATCTCTGCCACTCCTCCGATAATGCTGCTAAGCATAAAGTTAACAACTTCCCCAAAGGACCTTTGAGGGTCAGTCAATTGCAGGACTTACTCATTTATGAAAGACGCAGCGACTATGGCGTACAAGCCCCCATCCGCCCGCAAGACCGCGAAAGGAAAGCCTATGCAAATATGGCTGGGATCGCTGAGCAGCATCCCCGGCCTGAAGTTCGGTGCTGGTCTTGGAGATGGAGCCTTCTCCGCTGAAGCCAAAACTTCCTTCCTCGAGAGTCTCTATGCCTGGGGCGGCAACCACGGCGAGACAATGCCATCCGAGATGAGTCGCAAGATCATGATTGCTACTCAGCAGCGTCACCACTGAACAGCCATTGCGATGCTCCTCAACATTTCCCAACAAACTTCCTGTTTCTGTTCGAACGACGAAAGTACAAAGGTGAGCAGTGGGCGAAACCAAAATTACAACATACCTTGAACACACCAGCAACGCCGACTTTGGGTAGCTATTAGCCAACAGTACCAACCACGTCATAGCACTCAATGAAGTAGCTTGTGTCAAACCATACTTGGTAAGAAATAGGCGTGATGGCCACCGACGAAATCGGCCACAATCTAACGACTGAGGGGAAAGCGCATTTGCTCTCTAGTCCAGAGTTGGCCTCCGCCTTTTCTGACGTACGCAGAGACAATTGCGGGTGACGAGAAGGGAGGGTAGCAGCGCTTGACTGGTGTCTTGACCGGCCTTAAGTACGAGTGAGATTCTTACTTCTGTTTTCGCTTTCGATCTTGCTAGAACACCATATCTATCTGCCGTACAACTGACCCTACGATTTCTCCTATCTACCACAAAGATGACTTCCTTCGCTATTACTGGTATCGTAACGGTTACAAGCTCAGTTGTCTTTGGCTTGAGTGGCTTGAGCCCACCTATCGTTGGTTTCCTGGGTCGCTTGACGGACTTGAACAACTTGCCGAGGCAGCTGGCAGCATTAGAACGGGAATTATCTTTGTTGGACTCACAGATCACATCCAGACTTATTTGTCCTGACGACTCACCAACTATCCCAAAGGATCTGGAACATGTGACCAACCAAATTCATGATGCTATTGACGAGGATATGAGCAACCTGGAGCGTCGAATAGTCTTTTTAGACGACGAATACAAGTTGGGAGTGCGGCCCTCGACAGAACAGTCACGCAGCCCGTTCAAATCCGAGTCTCGACGCGGGAAGTTTCGTAGGCTTCTCCAATTGAGAAACTCTAAGCTCCTGACGACCATGATCAATGACACAAGAACTCTCATCTGGGCTATCAGTAACAAAATCACAGAGATAGAGTTAATGGAAGGAGAAGCATCGTCAGCGGTAACCAGCAACGAGAATACAACATCCCATCGCACGAATGAGATTGGAGTCTCAGAAAAATTGTCGGAACAAGAATGGCCCGAGGTATCTCCCGGCTCAGTTAGCGGGACTGCGTCTGAAGCCGTCGACGGCCCTTCAAGTCCGGAGCAGGCACCTTTGTCTGAAACTTCATGTTCCGGAAATACACAGTAAGACAATACTTCCCATGATTGATGCAGAAAACAGCTTATTACATAGCTGACATCATCTCCATTGCAACAAGAGGGGCAAGTTCGGAAGTCGTCGATACAAACCTCCCAGAAGTCGAGAGCCGAAGTTCGCTGGCGAGGCCCTCCGACTTCAAACAGGGGCTTTTCGTACCTAGCTGTTATATCCTAATGTTGCTCTCAGCCTTTGGACTTATTTCCAGCCTGGTTTTATCTCTTTGGTGGTCTTTGAGATGGGGTGATGTCGGAGGTGGGTTCACTATTGGAAGCTACGCTATTGCGGTTTCCGGCACCGTTGTTGGAATCCCGTGGTATAAGCATAATAAAACCTGTAGATGCTGGGAGGTAAATATTACTAAAGGAGAAAGACTGAGTTAACATGGAATGCATGAAGTTTTGAAGCAAAATTAAGATAGTAATTGACGAAGTTCGATAGCCTTCGCTGCTTCTAAACGTCAAGCATCTGTTCATGGACATCCAGCACATTATATATGGACTTTTCTGAAACTCTAGTCAGATTATTTCTGCGAAGGTTGGTCTGAACAATACTGTCACGCACCCAAACTGGCCAATCTTTTTGTCTCAACTGCCTTCTCTTTACTTATTGATAGGTCGACAAGGGCCGCCTGTAACACCGCATCTTTTACCAGTTGTTGAGGTAGAATCAGCTGCATCAACACACCGTTAGTAAGAGAGTTCAAGCAGTCAAGATCGTTTATCTTAAGTGGTAGAGGGGGCAGTGTTGTCTACTTTTGCAGATGAGGGCGTCATTTCGACATTCCCCTAGAAAATTTAGTGTCAGTACATCACCCTCACATTGAGATTGACCATCTAATAGAAGTTGAACGTACCCTTGTCACCCTGTTGTTGGGCAAGAGCAGCTGTGACCAAGAAAGGAAGAAGGGTTACGACGGTTGGGAAACGCATGGTGGCTTATGGTGCAAAGAAAATGTAGAATTAGATGTTCAAATGCCAGCAGTTGAGGTAATGTGGATAAACAAAAGTATTGATCAGTGCCTTCGGTCGACTTGATTATTGACTTAGGTACATTTATATATACCATCGCTCCGTGTGAATAATTTGACTTGGAGACCAACTTGGTCGTGATGACTTCTGACTCGTATTTCTCAACTGAAACCACACGCAGCTCCATAGCTCAGTACAGGTGTATTGACTCGAGGCAACATTCTGCAGGGAGTCGTCTTACATCAGAGCGAACCTTAAGTTTACCATCCACATTGTTAATATATCAACGGCTTCGTCTCCAAGTTGACCAAAAAGACAAGATACAACTCGCAGATAGTCCACCAGTTGAGAGACCTCGAATACGTCAGCTAACAAAGATCAAACGACTCCAATAATTTCGCATTGCAACTTCTCAAAATCTTTTGTCAAGAAAGCCATAATTCAGTTAATTCCTTTCTCGCCGGTTCCGTACACACAGCTCTGAAACCCGACCCAGAGGACCGAAGACGGTTCAGACGTCAATCATGCAAGTCGGCATCAAGTCCGAGATCGACATAAAACAAGACGAACGCGAGAAAATCAAGGGACAAAACCTCAGACGGTCCACAAAACTCCCCCAAACCAAGAATGAAGAAACCCGACACTTCGGTCAACGCCGTCGATCCAAAGACCCTTGCTCGCTTCCCACCAATCATTTTCCAAAACAATGCAACAATACTAGAGTAACGTGTGTGAAGGAGTGCTCACACATCAGCTAGCAGGCACGAGGTCCGTCCATCCAACACTGCCTAGCGCTGACTCAAAATCTCGTGGTTAGCTGTATGCCCTGTAGGGCTCCAGCGGCCGCACGGCGACTTGAGAGAGTTCCGGCCAACGTCGCCGCGCTAAGTACAACGACATCGGCTTCTCGGTAGTTGCACTCAGCCTTTCAGATACCTTCACCCTGCGGCGACTTTTTCTGTGCCCAAAACACCAACTTTACCTTGGTTACCTCAAATCGCGACGAGATGACCCATGCCCTTCGGCGGCGGGTGATAGATCCCAGGAAGGCCGATCGTGGGGTCAAAGTGGTCTTTGCCGTCAAGCAACCTTAGACACTGGAACAACCTTTGGAGACCAAGCTTGAACGTCTCCTTTTCCCCGCCAAAGTTGAGTCGGAACCATCCCGAGCGCTTGGAGAAGAATGCCTGCGACGCATCATTCCATTGTTAGCAACTAAGACTTAGATGGGGCCGATGGGGCCGCTACTCGAGCTTCGTAGCACCCCAGGATAGTAAACTCACCTGTCCGGGCTCGAGATAGACGCGGTACTTCATCAAGTACTCCAAAAACTTGAAATCCCCTTCTTTGCCATGCTTCTCGAGCAGGAGGTCCACCCACTCGGACAAGTTGACGAACACAAAGAAGCCCGCCTCGGCTTTGACATGTGGGATATCGTACTTTTCCAGTTCTTCCTCGACAAAGGTGCGTCGTTTGGTTAGGCGGCGACGGAATTGGGGCAGGTATTGGTTGCGGAGGTACTTTGCGTCCGATAGGAGCTTCGCAGCTGTTGAGGCGCTGAGTGCAGAAACCCAGCCGAATGTGCTATTCGTGGATAACAGCGGTTAGCCTGGTTGGGCGCACACGTGCTAGTGTTGGTAAGCCGAAGGCTGTGACTCACCTTGACGCCCGCATCGCCTCGTATATCTCCTGATTGTAAGTCACGAGGAAGCCAATCCTGAGCCCACCGAGGCCGAAATCCTGCAGGGGGGAAGAAGAGCGTCAGTCAGTTTTGTTTGTGATTCATCATGCGAAGCCGAAGCCGAAGTAGACAATGGCCCCACTCTCGGCAGCACGGCTTAAGAACAGGCCTAGACGGGAATGACTGCTCACCTTACTCAACCCCCACAGCACATGAACATTCCTAAAGTTGACATCGAGCCCAAGACTCAGTATACTCGAGAATCGTTCCCCAGCACTCATGGCGTAGACCTCATCAACAATAAGATGAATCTTATGCCTCGCGCAAAGCTGGGAGATCTGCAGCAGCACGTGTGCGGCGTAGCACCGACCCATCGGGTTATCAGGATTAGACAATAACACGCCGCCGACCTTACGCTTCTGGCCCAACTCGACCTGGATCGCATTTTCAAGACGGACAACCAACTCAGGAACTTGTATGGGTCCGTCCTCGTGCGGCGGTTCCCCCCAGAAGCGCTCTTCTGGGATGTCGTCGCAGGGTACCTCGACGACGCGGACGCCGTTGCGCGTCCAGACGTCGCGGGCGAACATCCCGTAGCTCGGAGTCGCGAGGATCACGGCATCGCCTTCGTCTGTGATTTTGTATGTGAGGGTGTCTAGTAGTGTCGTCACACCGTTGGCGGCAAGGATGTTGTCGGCGGTTAGGGGTAGGCGGACTTTGAAGTGCTCGTTCATGAAGGCTGCTGCTGCTTTTGGCAGCTCGGGGGAGCCTTGTGCACCGCCATAGCCAAGGGCTGTAATTACATCAGCAAGCTAGCTACTGATGGACATCAGCGTCAGGCGGAACCACTTACACTCCTTGAGCTGGCTCCTCTTGACATTTCGCTTCGTCCAGCACGCCAAGTCTTCCAACATGATCTCATTGACGGCTGACCCAAGATCAATGATGCCCTTGGGATTACTCGTGGCATCATATGGGTTACCCTCGAGTCGTTTGCTTAGGCCATCCATCACATCCGACCGGGTGGTCTTCTGGCCCCGCTGGGACGGAGGGAGAGCGGCATTGACAGACATGATGCGTTGACACGGAAAAGGTTGAAATTGTTGCCTGCTTTTTTCGGCCATCTTGTGGCGAATCGAGGTCCTTATATGTCAGGTCTCTCCGAAAGAAATAGATAGGAAAATATGACAGCCTGATGTGTATACGCAGTCATTGGAAATCAATGGCGAAGGAAAATGTTTCCCCGGACTCGCGGCAATGTGGATACCGGACCAGGTACGCGGGTCCGGCTTGACTGGGCTCCACCCTTGACAAAAAGGTAAGGTGCGACCCATACCCACCAGTGACTCCTTCGCCGTTGCCTAATCGGGGAAGCAGATACGACTGTCCGACTAATAGTACAGTCATCCTTTTCGGTGCCTGCGGAAAAGAGAACTGCGCATTGCGAAAACAAGTACTTGAACAGGCAGTCAAGACTCACGTAAACACGCCAATAGGTGAAGTGGATTGCCATGAATGAAAAATTTCCGAAGTTTGCTCCGTTGTTCGGCTCGGCTTTCTGGCGTCACTTGCGCGTCGTCTTGCCTAAGGTATTGCTCCGTAACGTGAGAGCGAAGCAAGCAACGCCATCTCGGCATACCTAATTTCCTGGAGTTCTTCTGCTTACGTTTCACCGACGTTCACAGTCTCACTTATTCCTCATGATAGTAGCGCCAAGCCCTCCCTGCACAGATCTACCGTAAGCAGAGAACGAATTTCCCTGGCAAATGCTCATTGAGTTTGGTGCAATCTATACCCTGGCTGTCAGAAAGCTTGTTGGGTGCCTGGAAAGTTCCTCCGATCTCACTAGGCATCGGCTTGGCTCGTGCGTGATAGGATTCTCGGTGCTGACGTCCCCACACCGTCGCTTGCGTGGCATTCGCCAGTGCTCAAAACGTGACGCCGCGGCCGCTCAACACCCTCAACGGGGAATATGCAAGGCTTACGATGCAGAGCAGCGTCGTAGGAGGCGCGTCAAGTGACTGTTTAACGCATCTTTTAAAATGGGATGTTCACAAGCGGCACTCGTTAAGTCTTAAAACGTTGAAAGGATAAAGATGTCCGGGCTTAGGGAGGGGACTTAGGAAGTCATACTCTGAGTTTAGGCTCGTGCACTGATTACACAGTACTGCCCGGGCAGCAGGCATTATTGTCCACGACACAAGGTACACTAATCCAGCACTCCACCAGAGCATCAATCTTACAGGTACGGATATGGCTTGTGTCAAGCCACCAAACCTCATGCATGCATCAAGCTAGGTAGCGTGGCTTGCCAATTCCCTTACTTCGGCGTCTTGTGAATCGGTTCGGACCGAACTTTTGCCAGTTTGAGCCGAAGTTCTTGAAGCATGATTTGAATAGCATGTTGTCTTACTTTTGTCGTCTTCATTTATCGATGCCCAAGGTAGTGAATTGCACTTGACGAAATCGCAGATCAAAAGTCCCGTCATAGCAATGAGAATCACTTCGAGCTAGACCCCACCCCTGTTCGCTCCCCATCTCTTACGGCGCAACATCTCAAAATAAGTGGTTGTGACAACTCATACTTTAAGGTACCTTATGTGATAGGGCTCTATTTCTTGGCTCTAAAGATGTTTCTGAAACTTACTTTCATCGAATCATTGCATACTGGCACTGATAGTGTTTGGGACCGTAATCGCTATTGCTGCTGAGTTGGTAGGCTCTCGTGGTCCGCGGATTGCGTCACCAAACTTGATATCACCATGATCGACTCGGGCTTACAAATCGGGCATCGATTAGCTTCTTCAGTCTTTTCCTGGGTGCAATCTGTCGCAACTCTGATTGTTTAAGAACATTCTCTTCTTCAATATCGAAATTGACATTGTACATAGGTCATCCTGTAGACCAAAGATATATCGTACTATCATCAGAGACATTTACTGCGCTGACCTTCCAGCTGATATGCCACAGCCACACCCAGTTCGAGGACAGCCACACAGACTGGCTCCGTTGTCAGCGAACTACCTAGCGGAGTTAGCTCAGCTTTGAAAGGGGCTTCAACGAGTCAAATCGAGGACCCTGGCATCCCCCCTTCCGCCGCCCTCCCGGTAGTCTCTTGGGGTCGAACCCTACCTACGCTGTCGGAGTTCTCTTAACTCTCGTGATCTGCCTTTGACAGCCAGAAACAGTTTGTTATAAACCCTCAGATGTTGAATATCGTAAACCACTCTATCTGAAGAGCTTACACAGGCCTCAGTCTTGCAGCTGTGAAATTAGCACGGTTATGGGCCAGGTCCAGGGATCTCAGAATCTTTTGCAGAGGCAGCGTGATGCATCATCTTGGGGAAACTGTCAAGCTGGTTAAAGAGGTGCTGTGTTGCCGTGTGTGAAGTAGCCAAGAGCCAATGGGAGTGTGGCAGTGCAAAGTCCGCCCCAGAGTCGTGGAAATTCTTCGGCCTTGAAAATCCCAACAGCTGACAACGTTCCATCGCTAGCAGGCGTTGAAGAGCCAAGGACTAAAGACAAAACGAAGGGGGCATCTTGAGTCCTTCGTGTTAATGTCAGTCTCATTAATAATCCGGCCAAGAGACAAAGCCCGCAACTCTGCTGGCTGACTGCTGACTAGCGTAGCATTGCTCAAGACCAAACACCGTCCTTTAAAGCCCCGGGAGCTCATGCCGCTTCCGATCCCGACGTATTCGCAAAACCTGCAAATTCTCCGTACTACCAGAAACCGATGTCCTCGCTGACTCCGATGGTGTCACTGTACGGGCAGCATCACAGTCCGGCTGGTGGCCAATGCAAGGTGGTCGGTGCCCCCTCCGCAAAGTCCACGATTGCACGATCAACTCCGATACAGTTTCTGGTGATTGCCCTTGTCCGCTCAAGTGCCGGAAGGATGCTTTGAGTGCCGTGTATCACGGGCCGATCCGCCAACGGCGTCCTCTTGAAATCCAAAGGGGGTTGCCTCATTGCCTCTATGACGCAAGTGACGCAAGTGACGCTGAAAGTTTCATATGTGCCTGGTGGCAACATTTGACCGTAGTGTTACCGCAGGAAACTTCTCGTATCAGGAGCGTTGTGTGATTCTAGCGCCTCAAGTCATTGATCATGTTGCGCTTTCGGCCTTTCTAGGCAAATCCGATCATCATCATCGGCGAAGTTGGAATTCCGTAGCTGCTGAATTCCGACCCCCAAGTTCCCAACATGAAGGGTCAGAAGCACGCATGCATGAATGGGAACCTGGCCTATCCTACTAGTATGTGCGATAATGCCATGTTAATATCCGCAGACTCCGGTCTCTCGTCTGCGCGGTATCAACTATGTGTTGAACGCCTTCAATACCTCAGAACGAGGGTCTTCATCCTAGACTCTTCAAATCTTCGACTCATAACCAGCAGGTCTGACTCATAACCAGCAGGTCTGACTCATAACCAGCAAGTCTGATGGCTATGATAGATTCGACAAGGCAACATAACCTCCAAAGACAAGGCAGAAAATCCGCAAGTTAATAACACGAGGCCTGCATCAGACGCCTGGAAATCAAAGCCCGCTGATTGGTCACTAAGACGATAAAGCGTCGTAAATCGCAAATTCAAAGCATGAACCAGCGGCAGATCGACACTCCTACTCCACAAACGGGCAGTTGCGGCCACCGCTTCAACCACCCCGAGATACGAATACGACTCGCCGTTTGGACCACCATATCACCAAGCGGCCAAGATCCGACCACCGTTGACTGGGGCCCCGGGGGGAAGAGTCCACTTCACGAACGCGGACGGAATGCATGGGAAGCGCAGATACAGCACTAACTCCGTCAGCAGGCTGCAGGGTACACAACAATCTTTCAGAGTTCAGTGTGATTTGCAGCTATGCAGCTTAATCCTCCGAGTACCTTTCGGGTGCCGGACGGAATAACGGGACGCCTAGCGTACCCGCCCAGTGGCGCGAAAGCTTAGCTCTGCGACGTCACGGCGTATTGCTGCGTAGGAGTAACTTGTAACTACTGACACTACGAATCTGTACGACTTGATTGGATTCGGTTTTATGATGGGGCTCTAAGAAGCACAACCAGAACAATCCACTTCGCACTCGCGTTAGTCGTACTTGTCGCACAATGGCGGACTCGCCAAGGTCCGTCGTGACGACGACGATCACCACAAAAGATGGGATATATACCGACAATGGTTCGTCCGGCTTTGGATGATCGATCTAGACAACACCTTCATCAACGGCATCGACAAAATCCCACATCAGATCAACGAACGCAACCGTGCCCCTATCGAGTACACAGGCCAAGAAAACCAAGAAAAAAACATTTCGCCCACGGCATACATGTCATCCAATTTCTCCTTCGAATTGGGCGGGGCGCCGTACACCATCCCCTCGCCCACAGAGAATCCCATCGCCTACGTCGCCACCGTCGTCCTGTTCATCGTTCTGGCATATGCCCTCGGCGACCATGGCGCCAAGTTACCCGAAATCAACCCCCTCAAGCCGTTTGAGTTTTCCAACTCGCGCCGCATCCTCGAGTTCTACCAGACAAGTAAGGAGCTCATGCTCAAGGGCAGAGCCAAGTTTGGCGAGAACCCATTCAGGCTCATGACGGAATGGGGCAATGTCTTGGTCTTGCCCCCGACTTTCATCCAGGAACTTCGCAGTGACCCAAACCTTTCTTTTGATGAGCCGGCTAAAGATGTGAGGCGAATTTCTTTGTCTATTTGGCGGTTGTCAGAGTATTGACTTTTTTCGAAAGGACTCCCACGGTTATATTCCAGGTTTCGAGCCCTTTGATGGCGATAATTCGCTTTCAAGGGTCGTTACAAAGTATTTGACCAAGGCTTTGAGTAAGCTGCCAACCTTCCCGCATTCAGATGTAATGCTCAAAGGCCTGTGCTAATACTGTGTTCGAACAGCAAAACTTACGAAGCCCCTATCCGAAGAATCAACGCTCGTCCTCCGTCATGTTCTCTCTGACTCGACTGGTGAGTCCACTACTTAAACCTTTCTGGCACGGCATCATTGCCCTCGAGCTATCAATAACCTTCTCATTCATACACAGAATGGCACAAAATCAGCCCCCAGGAAGATATCATGCGCATCGTTTCGCGCTTGTCTACTCGAGTCTTTGCGGGCGAGGAACTCTGCCGCAACGAAGACTGGGTCCGTGTCTCCTCAGACTACACCGCCGCCGCCTTTGGTGTAGGCTACGAAGTCGGCCAGTGGCCGCGCTGGTCCCGACCCTATGTTCACTGGTTCCTCCCCGCCTGCTGGCGCGTCCGCTCCCTTCTGGCTGAGGCCCGCGCGACCCTCAAGCCGTACATCCAGCGCCGAGACCGCATCAAGGCCGAAGCCCTAGCGCGCGGCGAGACCAAGGACCTCTTTGACGATGCCATTGAGTGGTTCGAGAAGGAGTCCCCCGAGAAGCGTGACCAGGCTACGACGCAGATCTCCTTGTCGCTCGTCGCGATTCACACCACGACCGATTTGCTTACGCAGACCATGATTGATCTGGCGGAGCACCCTGAGCTGGTCCAGCCTCTTCGTGATGAGCTTGTTCGCGTGCTTGGCGCCGAGGGATTGAAGAAAACGGCGCTCTACAATCTGAAGCTCATGGACAGCGTCATCAAGGAGTCCCAGCGCATGAAGCCCGTCCTTCTCTGTAGGTTCCTCCTTTCCCCACACACACAGACTGGTGACCAAATCCTCTCTAACATGTGTCTTCTACCAGCTACCTGGCGCCGCCTCGTCAAGAAGGACATCACCCTCTCTAACGGCTTCGTCCTCCGCAAGGGCCTAAAGATCATTGCCACAAACGCCCACATGTGGGACGCAAACTACTACGAGAACCCGGCCACCTACGACGGCTACCGCTTCCTCAACATGCGCGGCACCAACGAGGAGAAGAACGCGCACCTCGTCAGCACCAGCGCCAAGCACCCCGGTTTCGGCCACGGACAGCACGCTTGCCCGGGACGCTTTTTCGCCGCCAACGAGGTCAAGATTGCGCTGGCGCATTTGCTGCTCAAGTATGATTGGAAGTTTCCTGATGGGTTCAAGCCACAGTCGATGCCGCATGGCATGGTTTTACTGCCTGATCCTTCGGCGACGCTGTTGATTCGTAGGCGGAAGGAGGAGCTTGATTTGGATTCTTTGGAATGTTGATTTGGTTTCTTTTGTGGCTCTATACTCTCCACTCTGAAGTAGATGGAAGTCGTATTCACGACACTCAGCAGCCTTTTAGCAACTTATATTGAAAGAATGGTCGTTAGAGTATTAGATGGTTTTCATTTAAAATCATGGCATTGCAGGCTTGCTATTATCGACACGATGCGGCAAGGCAAACTCGTCAATTGTTGTCACACGTGCAAACAATCTCTTCAACTAAAACCTGTGTGGTAGCCGCAAGTTTGCAAAAGAATTGTTGGCAGAGACGGGTGAGGTGGCGATGGAATGATCGTGTTGTGTGAGGTTACTTACCCCCCTTCCATGTTTATGGGAGGTGGCGCTTAGGTCTGTCCTCCTTTGCTGCTGTCACAAAGCGATGTGGGAATTGTGGCCGAGCGGCTTAGGCGGCGCCAGTGGAACCCTTTCTTCCAGAGTCGAGCCGAACAATCGCTTAATCTTTTGTTCGAGTCCTCAAGTATGATGAAGTCTTTTCTTTTCTTCCTTGGTTCTTCTTTTGGTATGTACTACCATCCCTCCAGATCGGGGTGACAATAACCTCAATGATGCACGTCCGTCTCGATTTGCCTTTTCGCATCTTCTTCAGTCTCATAAAAGGTCTTCAACACAACAGGGCTCGTTTTTGGCCGGAGCCGAGACGCGGAACGCGTACCGAAAATGTTTTGCCTCGTCGTATGGGACGCGGCTTAGTCCAGGAAGTAAAATCTTAGACCCTCGCCGGCTAATTTACTACATGCGGACGATTAGGAAAAACGTATGGTCTGTTAACTTTGAGTCAGTTGCTGTGTAAAACGCGGGTTAGTCATTGGGTAGGCGTGACCTCCCGTCCTGCACTTGCCACCATTGTCCACCTGGTATACCTAAGGTGAGCAGGTTATACGGAGTGAATGGCTCTTTTCCCAATAGTCACAGCAGACGTCGGGAAATTTTCCCAGAAGCTTAAGCCAGTAAGAATCTAATCCTGTTCAGCGGCGCTACCGGACTTCTCTAGCTTTTGCTTTTGAGTCTCCTTGCAGTCAACTTCTTTTTTCTCACTTCACTTTCTTTTTCTCTTTGTCCTTGGCCTTTATTAGGCCTTATCCAATCGAACCGTCATGCTCAATAAGTCAACCTTTCAATTCGAAATGCAATTAGGGGAAAATATCAGTAATGACTGGTGTTATGCCCAATTCATTGTCAGGATCGAGGTGTCTGATCTTGCCTGCTACCTTACTTGAAGTAGCCATTCAACTTTACGAGTATACGTTCCAAACTTGGAGATCCTCGAATAATCCCTCGAAAGCTTACAGTGTGAATGCTCTTTTGGAGGCCAGAACAACGGGGTGACCAGTCTTGGGAATCGAGACGACGACTAGAGGTTGTCCCCGGGTGAACTCTGGATAATTGTAGCCACTCATGGCCATCCTTTGGTGGGGCGGGACATGCTTTCCACTATGGCTAAACCCCGGGGCGGTGTGGGCCAGTAGCGCGGTTCAGTGGGACCAGGGGTCTGCGGGGGGCATATCCCGATCGGGCATCACAGCCAGCAGCCGGGGCTGCGTGACATTTCAACCCGAATACGCCGCATGTCTGATCGAAGAACTAACGCATCCTCACAATAGTGCAATGAGTTTGGCCACCGGCTACGGTCCCGATATTGCGGCTCTAGACATTTCTGACATGGGTGAGTCCAGGTATAAGAGCGACGACGTCCATCAAGCTGACTTTTTACATACTAGGTTGACGATCTGATCACACCGCTGCCATCACTCATCAGCTGTTTATCTTTCATTGTGAACAACAAACATATTGGAACATTCCTCCCTCAGCCATGGATACGCCCTACCCCGAGCTCGTCTGGACTCAGACGTCATCTGGAACATGGCAGCGAAGCATCGACGAGGTCGAGGAGTTCTACTCCGCCATGCCTATCCTCTACGAGGGCAGCGGCCTCATGTTCTTCGCCATCACCGGCCACGTCTCCCTCACCTTTGACACCGCCGGCATCAACAACCACTCCGAAGCCGATAAGTGCGTCGATGAAGCTTTGAAGAATGCTTGGCTGGCCCTGCGTCACGATCATCCCACCATCGCCTCCCAAGTCACCCGGGACCTCACAACAGGCAAATGGACAAAGACATACCAGCAACTCAAAGACGAAGCCGACCAGCAGTCCTGGATCAACAAGACTCTTGTCCCTGTTACTACCGAACAAACTAGCGCAGAATGGGCCAACTCACAGCCGCCAGCCCCAAAGATCCCAACCCTCTTCGTCCTCAGCCCGCCATCCAACACCACCAATCTTATCCGCCGCGACCTCATCCTCCGCTCCCCCCACAATATCATAGACGGCATCGGCACCCTAACCCTCCTCAACAATCTCATCACTCACGCCTCAAAAGCATTATCCTCGCCAAACACCCCCACTCCCCTATCCTTTACCGGCTCCGAAGCCGCAAACCTCAGCCCCCCCTATCGCATCGCAGCCAGCGTCCCCCCAACCCTCACCCAATCCCAAACCAAACGCTTAGCCACTATGGCCGCCCAGAAATCCGCAGCAATGAACCCCCCATCCGGCATCCAACTCATCGACATGCCCTACCGCCGCGGTAAACTCCTCCCTGGCCGCCACCAGCGCGTCGCAATCACCCTCACGGAAGAGCAAACAGCCCGCCTCACAGCAGCATGCAAATCCGCCGGCGCGACAGTCACCCACGCCTTCCACGCCGCCATCGCCCTCGTCGTCCGCGACATCCAACCATCATCTACCCGCGGCCCAGAGGCAAAACGCGTGCGCTACGTGAACTACATCCTCCGCAACGAGCGCGCAAGCTGCCAGCCGCCGTTCAACTCCGCAAAACACCCCGCTGCGCTGTATCATTCGGTCCCGGGGCAAAGTCTCATCGTCGACATGGACCTCCCCGCCTCAGACGACGATGCCAATTCATCCCATAACAAGGACGAATTCCTCCCCGTCGTCCAGATAATGAAGGACTTCTACCACAGCGTCAAAGACGATAAAGAGCACTATGCCCTAGCCTCCACAATCTGGGCCGCCGGGAACCCCACGGTCCCTCTGTCCCCTGACCCGCTTCCCGTGCCGCCGCCCAAGGAACATCCTTCGGTGTCCATCTCCAGCATGGGTCGCGTCGACGGCATCATCGCGCCCAAGACGGGTGCGATCGAGGCGTACGATCCGTGGGTTACTGGCGAGGAGCTGGGGAACGGGCTGGGTCTGTTTTTGGGTACCTTCAGGGGCGAGCTCTGTCTTAGCGCTGCGTTCAATGATGCTTGGCATACTGAGGCTGATGTTCTTGATTTCTTGAAACGGTGCGAAGCTGTGGTTTTCCGTGGGTTTGGGCTCTCGTTGGAGTGAAAGGGAACCTTGGTCTGATCATGACGGTCGTTGTGGGAAAGCCTCGATTTTCGTCTCTCCAGGTGACATCCTAGGTATTGCCGAGAACCGAGATAGGCTACCAGTTGTAGGTCAGCTTCTTACTTGGATGACTTTTCCTAAATCAATCGTCTACAGCACATACATATCATCGATTCACTATGAATTGGCCAATTTGGTTCGCAAACCCAACCATCAGCGCACACATAGCTAGCTTCTCCACGAAATAGAACCATACCGAATCCAACAATCCACCAATTTCGAGTCAGCCCATGCTTACTGGTAGTCTCGGGTAGTCTCTTAACTCCTTAGTATTGACAAGCCGCCCAGGCATGGCGCCCAGATCGCCGAGCTTGTCGTTCGCTGCATCGCCTGCAGGATTCTCGTAGCTACCTCGAACCCAAAACAGCGGGAAGTTGAAACATTCTAAACAACTTCTCTCGCATACGAGCCAAGACTGCATGCAACACTGCCCTAAGTACTACTAGTCATGTACTTCCAACGCACCATTTACACACCCTCCCAGCTAGCCCGCATACATATTGCATGGGATTTCGAGCTCCAGAGGCTTCCTGACAGTCAAACTGGGTTGACTACTCCTGCAATTTTATCGCGGTTTGTTATCCATCCAGAGGCCCGGACTCTCGACAGGCTATTCTCTTAAAAGTGAGAATCATCGTCTGTAATAGCAAGATCAATAGCGATCAGACTGCCTTGCAGTTGGTAACCATGTTTCCCGTTCGTGCTTTCTAGCCCATGGAACGTCAGGTTAGTTTGCACAAGAGGTTCAAAGATACAGGCTAAGGATGACGGTCAGATGGAAACTCTACCCAAGAGATAAGAGTAGTTGACCCTCAGTTTAATGAAAATCAGATTGGTAAGAGCCATAGGCTGCGTGTGGTATCTTAAGTACAAAATACTGAACTAAACTTCGCCCAGATTGCCCATTGTGTATTTAGCTGTGACATAGTGCTTTCTTTGATGCCAAGAAACAACACAGGCGTGTCCTTGGGTGTTGTGGCGCTAGCACAGGTCTAGAAGAACCTGTTGTACACGCGCTTCCACGTAGGCCAAGAAGCAACCTCGGCCTTGTAGCGGTTCATCTCCTCCCAGTCGAGCTCGCGACGTCCGGTATCAACATCCATCTGGTGGGTGCGAAGCCAGCCAGTGCGCTTCCAGGCGAAGCCAATGACCCAGAAGACGATGATAACAGGAACAGTAACCATAGCCTCAAAGAATCCAGCGGCATCATTGAGCTCGTTGCCCTGCCCAGCGGGTGCGATTGCAACGAAGAGCTGCGTTGGAAGTCAGTCAAGGTACCAAAGAATTCGGCATGTGATATTGGGGAAGGGTAAAGCTTACCTGAGCAATGAGTACAAGGATGCATAGAATCAACCCGACCCAGGACCCGGCGACACCAAATGCAGCCTTGAAAGGAATCTCATCGACAGTATGTCCGTGGTAAGCCCAAGCCTTGCGGAATCTAATGTGAGCCAAACAGATGGATCCCCAAGTGAACAGAGCAGCGAGTGCTGACATGGCGAGGAGCCAGTTGAAGACCGTCTCGCCACTTGCGTCCAAGTTGATATAGGCAAGGGCGCCGCAGACAAGGTGGACTGCAACGGACGGTAGAGGGCGGCCAGACTTATCGACGTAGGTAAAGATCTTAGGGGCATAGCCCTGTTGCGCAAGAGCCGTCAGAGTACGGGAGCCGCCATAGACGCACGAAACTCCCAATGAGAGGACTGACACCAAGATGATGGAATTCATAAAGTGATCGTAACCGTTCAAGCCAGCGTACTTGGCGGCCAATACAAAAGGCGATGTACCGTCGGCGTAAGGGTTGTCGGCACCAAGAATGTTCTCGTCGTTGGAGCTGATGAGGAGGCCAACAAAGAAGAGACCGAGGATATAGAACAGGGTGATACGCCAGAAGACCTGCTTGATGGCACCTGGCAAGGACTTCAAGGGGTTGCTGGATTCGGCTGCGGCCAAGCCAACGAGCTCGGTACCGGCAAACGAGAATGCAGCGGTGACAAAGACCGCGCAGAATCCTTTGAATCCGTTCTTGAATGCGCCGGGGTCGTACCAGTATCGCGCACCCCAGTACTCATCATAACGACCGCCAGCAGGGCCACCACCGCACACGAGGACCAGAGCTACGATCATGAAAATGACTACAGAAGGTGTAAGTACTTGAAAATGCCACTGAAAATGGGAGCTTACCAATGGCCGAAAGCTTGAGAAGGGAGGACCAGAATTCTTCCTCGGCGTATCCCAAAGTTCCAAAGACGTTGATGAAGGTGATTGCAGCCCAGAAAATGGTGATCCAAACAGCGAGACTGATATTTCTAGCCCCTTCCCAGTAGTTGATTGTTAGACCACACACGGTCAATTCGAGAGGTAAGACAATTGCCCACTGTGATTCATAAGTCAGATACGTCGGGATGCTCAAAGGAGACTCGTGTAGGCTGAAAAGCAAAAGGGCTTACCTGGAAAACGTAGTTCCATCCCATCGCGAAGCCCCAAGAAGGGTCAATGAAGCGAGTCGAGTATACGTAGAAGCCACCGGATACAGGGTACATGACAGCGAGTTCACCAAGTGCGTAGACAACGTTGAACATCATGATACCAATAATTGAGAAGTCGAGAAGAATGGAGCCGGGGCCCTAAGTTCGGTCAGCAGGAAATTCGAGTACTTGTAGGCTGGTGGCAAAACAAACACCAGTAGCCAGGGCACCTCCGGACCCGACGAAGAAACCAGCACCAATGGAGCCACCTGAGTGGATGACAACGTTAGCAAAGGTACATGTGTAAACAACGTCTTAATTCCATACCAATAGCAATCATGTGCAAGTGACGAGTCTTCATGGTACGATCGAGCTCGACGATGCCGTGACCATAGTCTCGGCGTTTGAAGGACTCGAAGTTGAGTCCATTACGGGTGTAGAAGTCCTCGTCGCGCACCGCACCTCCGTGACTGAGATGGCCCTCGCCAATGGCGTTTCCAGGCTTGCCTGGGACCGCATGGCCCTCGGCACGACTTTCGGGTTGGACCTGGGTAGTCTCGGGCGTCGAGACACCATCATGGACGTCCTTTTCGGTCGCCATCTTGGGGTGGCGATGGCACTGTAGAGTTTCTCCTTGTTCTCCGCTGCAATACACGCACAGAAGATAACAGAGATGTGATCGAAGCCCTTCGAGAAACAAATGGCTGATATTGATCGAATTATGGGATCGGAGGCCCAGGGGCACCAAGTGCAAGGGAGGGTATCAGGCAGGCCTGAAGTAGTAGATCGTGGTGAAGTACGAGGAGAGGAGAAAGTCGATTGCGGTCGAGGGCGGAGATGCAGTGAGTTAAAAAGAAGACACGGTCGATCGCTCAGAGAAGAATACCACCTCAACCTCGTCGCCCGTCCTAGATCAACATGCTCTCCCTGCCCTCACATCCCCTTCGGCGTCGCCTTGTCGCGCCGAGAAGCTACTTTTGGACATGGCTATCTGCGGCGAAGGCATGCGGGCGGAATCAGGGCAACGCAGACGCAAGTCGAGGGCGGTAATCGGCGAGTGATAGGCCTCAGAGGAGGGATGGACAGTCCCGAGAGAGTAAGATGGGTGTATGCCAAGGGCCAGAGGAAGGCCAAGTCTCGGGGAAGTGGAGTGAAGCAGACGGCGTGCTAGACGAGAAGAGAAGGTGCAAGTCGAGCTTCAGGGAAGCTTATGGTTGACAAGTTGCCGACTCGTCGATTAGAGTCTTGGGTGCTGGCAAGCTGAGCTCGAGAGAGGGCGACTAGAACGATCATGGGATGGTGGTGGGTTTGGGCGTTGGAAGTTGGCGTGGAACAGAAGAAAGGAATACGACACGTCGAAGATGTTGGATTGACATGGTGTCGGGCGTTGGTGGGAAGGAGAGGAAGCATCATGAGAGGTACCTTTGCGTACCGCAATCGTAACTACCATTATCAGCGGAGCCCGCCCGGGCAGCTGCATGGAAGGTCCCTAATGTCGTTCCGCGCCTTCTAGGGGCGGCGGGGGACGTCGATCTTGGCGGAGAGGTGTGGGACCTCGGAAGTACAGTGCACCTCAGCACGTGCTTAGGTAAGGCAGCCGGGGGAGATAGAGAAAGGAGGAACAGGCGGGTGCTGCTGGCCTGGAAGGAGCAGGAGTGAAGGGAAGGTGCGAAGGACCCAGACGCACCTGCCTTCTACTCACTACTACGATTGGAACCTAGGTAGATTAATCAAGACACGCGTGGTCTACGAAGACAATCTTTTCTATCAACTGCGCCTCTCTCATGCCTCACGAAATCCGGCCAGGACGAATGCAGCCATCACCTTCCCTCCCGGCATGACTCCCGTCTGACAAGCGCGTCTCCCGCCAAGCAACTGCCGGCCGTACTTGCGCCCATCCGCCGCCCATGGCACCATCCGTGACCGACAATGGCATTTCATCCTCAATAACTCACCTTATTCCATGCTGCGTATCTAGGCACGCACATGCCACAACAAGACTAATATAACGACGAAGCAAAGAACGATGGCCGCATCGACCGTTAGATATTCAGGGCCTCGGTTGAACTGACAATCTCGTCCTCCCGTTTTCTCTACTTCGCGTGCCTCTCTCTCATTTGCGGTTGCAGACTTGGTACGCCTGCCGAGCCCTTGGCCGAACCAAAAACACCACCTTCAGGCCAGTCAGCGTTGAAGATGGCAACATTAAATCACACATGCGATTACGTATTCGCAAATTGAAATGAACTAACAGCCCTTCCGAGCGGGTACATGTCCGATACTTCCTCGAGACTGCCCTCACGTTTCCCCGGCCGCCCAGAGACAAACGCTGCACAACCCACAAATATGCGCCACTTCACTCGCCAGCCGAGAAATGCCAACCATCGCCAACAGGTTGGCAATTTTTGGCAGCTTTTATCGACAGTTCACCACTGGTACCAAGCACCCGCCAAGTTGTAATATCGGTGTTGGCATCCTCGCCACGGCTAGATAAGCCCCCAACGCCGTCCTCTTGGACGCCTTCCACCGGCCTTTCCACCTGCCAAAGGCACGGCCTTGATAATCCATTCCAGGTCGAACCAAGAGCACCAGACAGCACCAAGAACCCAGGGGCTGGACCGACCATGACACTGCACAACCGTCCAAAATCACCACTATGTACCGATGGCTTGTGGACCTCGTTCGCAGACTTGGGTCTGCAGCTCCTGTCAAAAGTTCATGGCGAGCATTTCGCCTATCTCTTAGCTTCAGTCCGACATGTTCCATCGGCCCTCTGGACTCTTCCCACCTTCTTGGATCGAAAGGCTTCGCCGCCTACTCGGTCTTGGAGGGCTGCTGATTGAGCCTTCTCCAGGAGGTGTCGTTGTCTGGGCACGCCAGCCACGTCGTCAGGGTACGAGAGAGGCTGGTTTCCCCCGCACCTGGATCACCGTCTAGCACACCCGCAGGCCGTCCTAGGTAGCACCCGACCTGCTGACTTAGGCCCATCGAACACGCCATGCCGCACCGGTAACACCACCTCGTTCACCTCCCCTATCCGTACTGATCAACCAGCATCGAACCGTCACCCGAACAGGAGCGCCACGCATACCTGAATTCCCCATTCAACTAGATGAGTTCTCGGTCGATGCTTTCTGTGTTTGCGACGGGAATCGTACAAGTCGAATGAGTTTGCCGCCACTCACGAGCCGCGATGCACGTATTTTGGCTCTGTTAAGAAATACATACTGAATACAAATCATAGTGTCCTATGGATCATTCCATCAACAAGCTAGAGTCGATTCTTCTTACCGGCCAGAGGATTCCTACGGCGGACAAGTCGTAAGCGAGACATCAGCTCTCAACCGTCTACCAAGGCCGGGCGTTCTGCACTCTGCCAGCCTCCGGCCTCACCTTCGACTTCGAGAAGTATCGCCGAGACAAGGGGCTTACAGCATCGGAGGGCATCACTAGCAATGGAATTTTGCATTGTTTGGGACGGCCAAGCCTGAAACTACCCTGCCAGTTCGCCTCCGATTGGGTGCCCCATGGTGGTTCCACCTCACTTCCACCACACCTTGTTCAGCGGGGACCAGACTAACTACACATCGGACCAGTGAGCTTAAGACGATAGGGAGGGGTCAACAAATATGACTGACATAAGGCCTGGGAGTTGCTACTTCTTGACCAAGTAGTCACGTGTGGATTGGGCCATCTGATGCAATATTTAGGTCTGAGATGGGCTAAGAAGAGGCGCTGGTTCTGCAGGTACCCATTGTCTTAGTTAATGAACTCGGTGTAAGCCATCCAGCGATGTGTATGTCTGAAGGCTTTGCTGACTACTAAGCAAGGGCTTCATCCATCATCATTCTTCATTTGTCGGAGAAATCGCTCACGCTACCTTCGGTTCATACCTTGAGATTCTTGGCAACATCATCCGTAAGTTGAAAGTTCCTTGAACATCTTATTGTCAAGGTTAAGAGCTAGTTGAGGACGAGCTCCATCTTTACTTTAGCATTGCAAAGCACATAGTGTCAACGAATACGATACAAACATGAATAGAACACCGTTTGGATCACGATGGCCCACCTACCAGTGCCACGAATGTAGCCCAGACTCCCCAAACGTTAGTACCCATTGCGATGTGACCTCCAACCCTGAGCATAAGTCTCACTCCGGAGATAGTGATTTGGAAACTTCTGACTTCAAGTGGTTTTCGACAGACCGAAAATACCAAGATGGGAATGACGCTGGGTATGTTCTTCTCTCCTTCCTTGATTATCTTTAGCTCGAGGGAATGCAGAAATTGGTTTTCGGTCCTCACATCTGTTCCTGGTTTTCTATCGAAAGTACCATCCAACGTTATTCAACCTCTGAGTCCCATCAAATCTCTGGCAACAAAGTTTCGATGCCACAACTGCCCTGGTTCTTATTCTTTCTACACGAGAACAATATTCTCTGGTTCAAGATCCTTCTCGTCTGCAAAACTGATGAATTCCCCTTCCATAATCCCATCGATGTAGCACTCCCCGACCAGCTGCCACACGGGCATTCCATCGAAGTGCCCTACATCCTTCAATAAAACCGGCACTGAACACCCAAACAGAATAGCGATTCGATCTTCTACTCGAGACTCAGGGGTCACGGGACCCAGGTACTTCGTCGAAGTTGCCAGTCTTCGGTCGTTCGATACCATCACTTCCGTCGAAGACAAGAGTTGGGTCGGGTGCTCCATATCGCAAGCCCATTTGTCTTCGCCGAAACTTATGTGTTACATATCCATAACATTTTTGGCCAAATGGGAGACACCCCGCTCCCCTTCTAATAAGAGTCTGTTGCCTACTAGCGCCTTGAGAAATGCAGCATTCTTTGTTCCTCCACTTTCGAGGCCATTAACCTGGTCCAATTCTAGCAATTGCGTCCAGTTTTCCCAAGGCAGATCGACCCTAAATCCGTTAACGCGGCGCTGAATTATGCCTCCCAGGCCAATGTTCGTTATTTCATCCACGACGAGGCCCCTGACAACGAACGGCAGATGATTCTTTGACTTGGAGCAGGCGTCACGAAGGTTTGCTTGAAGAGAAGCATATCCTCGCACAGATACAATGGAATGGCCAGAGGCGAAGTAAACGGCGTTTTTGTGTGCCCTGAATTGACGAGTCGGATTATGTTCAATTGTTGCCCGGTCAATGCATTTGTAGCAGAAGTCCAACTTCTCGCAGTCAACGCACTCATAACCGGTACCATGTATCTTGCTGTGGCATCCGTCGCAAACCAATTTCTCTCTGCAGCGTGGATTATTGCGACCCGGGCAGAATTTTGGGCGATGACCTTCTTGGCCGCTTCTCACCGCAGATAGGGGCTGTCCGAATGTCGTCAAGGATATTGTATTGTAGCCTTTAAACCGATGTGAATGATCCGGCGTAAAGTTGATGGTCTGGATTCCATGGTACGGTCTCCAGGAGGATGGGCGGTTGACTGAGAGAGAGAAGGACCTGTCGTGTATGCGTCTGCAGATGATATCTAGACTACCAGTTTTTTTGTATGATATGTAAGGTAGCTTTTGCATATATTTCCGTAGTCGTAGCTTGGTCTGAGTAGTCTGAAAACCATTCCTCTGTGTCGATGTCGCTGGCCATTGACAAAAACGCACAAATGCCGTCCCGGGCATCGAAGGAATCGAGCGATAAAAAGTTGTCTAAAAGCCTCTCCAATGTTAGAGATGATTTGTCTACTCTGGCAGCTGCGCTATTCGCTCGCCAGACTCGGTAAATGGTATCGATAGAATCCACGAGTGGCGCCGGGCTTTTATAATTGCGAACAAGGTCCCCGCGAACTCTTCGGCATTCGCTATACTCTGGTAGTTCTTTACGTAGGTGGTAGGACTTCAGCTTAAGAAACCCACAGAGCCAAACGAGATAGCCTAAACGAAAGATCCGGTTACCCAAGTGGGCGTGTTTCTGACTAGACAAGACAACCTCTTGAACAGCCCAGCGCCGCGAGAACCAAGGCCTATTGATCAGATCGACAAAAGCTGCCCATGTTTCGTCCGTTTGGCTTTCCCCAAAGCGCTCCCCCGCTTTCGCGACTTGATCTGACAACGGACTGTACCAAGCGAATTCTTCGTGCCCGTTTGCGACGAAGCAGTCTCGAAATGATTGGAGAAGGTCAAGGGCGATGTCGCTATTCTCTGACCACTCTCTCAACCATATGACGAGGCTTTGCGATCTGTAGACCAAATCCATGCTTGCAACTTGATGGCCCTTCTCAACGTCATCCGTTTGGTTGATGCAGATTGCATCAATCCATAGGATGCGGGCTTCTTGCCTTCGAAGCTGTTTGAGACACGATTCGAGATTCAGTCGTATCGAGAAAGGTTTCCACGCAGAATCTCCGGCATCTCTAAGCCAGATTGAGCATGATGCGTCTTGTTGGCCTCAGGTGTATGGCAGAGGTTGGTATGATAGTGCTTCTTCGCGCGGGCAGAGAATCACCTCCGCGCGAAGTTTTTCTGGTTCAGTGTTGCAGGCTGGGAGAAGTTTCAGCAACGTCCTGTACTTTCTCGGGTCCGGGAGTGCTTCGTATGCATAAGTCGACATGGCTGGCGGATAGGAGAGCAATTGTCAAGAGGCTCACACTTTCTCAAGTTCTGACTTCTGAACGGAACTCTGGGGCGAGGGGCGCGCTGTTGGTTCAAAGACGAGGGAGGATGTAAGGAGTTCTAGTGGTCACATGCGTAATGGGCTTCTCAAAGTTGGAGCGTTGTAATGTAGCACTTTTAACGCCAAGTAGCAATCCGCACAACGCATACGCACTGTCAGGCGTCCGAGACACAGATGAGTAGAATTACATACTCAGATCTACACAACCAATTGTTCTGTTAGGTGAAACACTGAGACCGAGTAATGATGCGCCTTCAGGAAGGCCTGCCACGTTGCTCCGATAAGTGCAACATGGCTTCGGTAAGAGACAGTAGTACTTGATGGCGCCTTGCATGTCCTGTAGCAGATCAGAAAACATCTCCCAATGACGCTGACGTATGCAATTACACATGTCGCGAACATCTCTTGGCGCGTGTAGCCTACTACCGAGTTTGACCGAGCACTAGCTGGCCGCCTCAGCTATACAATAGAGTCATGCCATCGATGAAGCCTGTTCCAGTAGATCGCGTGATTCATCGCCGGCAGATCATCTATGGCTAGCAAGCCTTTCGTACATCTCAGTCTTTGTCCAACAAACCCCTGAGTCCTACTAGATGATGTTCAAGATTCCTTCGATTAAGGGGGATCAAGATTCCAGTTGACTGGTTTTATAATCCCCCTGCCTCTCACCAATTCATCCTCGGGTTCACTTCTTGACCTCTTCTTTGCTCTTTGAGGCATCGGTAGAAGTGCCATTGGTGCCGGAACAGACCCGTCTGTCAAGGGTGAAAGAACACAAAGACCGCTTTTGACTAAGTCGTACTGCCGTGGCTCCTTCAGCAGTGAAAACTCCCTACACCAAAAGGGATCCTGGAGGCGTGATACTGGATCTTCCGAACTTGGGACTCTTCGTCTCTTTCATGTCCAGAAGCCACCCGAGGTCTGTGGCCAGGTGTGATCAGGCTGATGCGGGCTATAGCGTTTGAATTGGGAAACGGGACCACTCCTCAGAATAAATCCCCACATGGTCATGTGTCCAGCGTCGTAGCTGAAGCTACTCGGGTCTTTTTGGTTAGCGTTCGCTTTCGTGATGGGTCTGAGACTTGATTTTGCTCGCATGCCCTTCGCGTTGCTCCTCTTGCTCTGGTGATCCATTCCCTTCGCAATTACCCAAGGTATCATCAAGAACATGCCTCTTTTGAGCCAAGTCTCTCTAAGAGTATTCCTTAGAAAATATGTTGCAAAAGGCTACCTAAGATGATAGGACCAAGAGTCAACTGATGTTGACTGGCGAACTAAGAGAGTAACTGTCATGTGGAAGTCAAGAGGGAGTTACAGTTGGACCTAGAAAAACACACTTTTATGAAGCAGAAGTGTATGGCATGATAATTCAACGTGAAACTTAACCAGCCTCGACAAAGCTGGTAGCCGCGATACAATGACACAGTTTTCCTGCGCGGAAGTGGTAGGCGGCCGCAAGAGCAACATCGAGATTCGCACTGCCAATGCCCCATAACGAGAAGGGTAGTCTCAACAGCTCAGTTGAGCAAACTCTCAAACCCACTGCCCCATGCGTCACTTCAGCATCAAAAGCTCTCTCTTGTCGTTGAAGTGATGTTTTCAATCAAGGACCGGTGTCTAAGACGCGGAGCCGAGACCGAAGGCTGCGGCAAAAGTGGGGCCAACTAACGGCTGATCACGGAGACAAGTTGCGGTCCGAAAACCTACAAATTCATAGATCTGAGTCGTTCTCACTCCTGACACCCAGGCCTTCAACCTAAGGTAGGTATCTCAACTCCGAGAAACACTACCTACTAGGGACTGCAGATGTATTTGCATGCAGGAACATCTCGAGCGGTCTAAACCCCTGTCCGCCGGCGCATGCTCCACACGCTTCAGGGTCCAGAAACCCTCTCCAATCTTACCACAACCCACCCACCCGCACCACATCCTTACTGAACGCACAATCTCATGGTCGAAGTCATCATAGCTCACCAGCTTCTTCAGCGTCGATGGTTTAGTGGTAAAATTCTCCGTTGCCATCCAGCAGCGTCGGGGAGCCGGGGGTTCGATTCCCCCTCGACGCAATCTTTTGCTGGTGTGGTGGGTTTCCTTGGCCTAGGACTCAATCTTTTGTTATTTTGGAGTTGAGCAGGCCCTTCCTTGTCCATGGCTTATTTAGCAAATCATGTGAGAGAAAGTGAAATTCGGCTTGTCAATAGAAAGAGGGAGAGGAGGGGAGGGAGGGGCATTAGTGTTGGCATTGCTGGCGCTTTTTGCTGCCATACCTATGGCCTTCCCGTTTTGTGAATCATGTACGGACCTGTGAAGCTTTTGAGATTTCGAGTAATGCAGATCCTCTTCTATCCGTCTCTGTTTAGTTCTGACGTTTCTTTCGAGCCTTCAAAGACTTTAGCTCACTCAATTTCCTCGTCATCAACGCGGTCATACATGTACATTTTTGGTCTCCCTGACACCCTCCTGGGAGTCCCTGACTCCCTTGAGAAGCCTAACAGAGCGTCTACTTTAATGTCTAAGCTTGATCTCCAACGATCTACGGAGCTAGAGCTTAGAGATTGGCATGGAGTCATCCATCAAAGATAGTAAATAGTCCCTAGGACTCTAGGAGAGGAGGCAAATCCGGAAGGCGTCATGAGGCCGTGGCTCTTTTGAAAGAAGTATTCCCGAAGTCATTTGGGCGCGCCCTAGATTTTCGAACGTAGTCAAAGGACCCAAGTGGACGTCCTGTCTTCTCGTCTCCGATAGGGGGCTATGTCTGGGAAGAATCATCGTGATATTTGACAAGAGAAACATGACCTATTGGCTGAGACCGGTATCAGCTTGTTAATATCAAAGATTACCGCAAGCTAGAAAGTGAGAGAACTGTTTACTTTCAAGTAAAGAGACTTGATTTCTTCAGCGAGACTTCACGTCGAGTACCATGCCTATCACTCAGATCTCGATCAGCATAGTGTCGAGTACTAAGTAAAAAGCCCAAAGTTTGCGCGGGAATTGACTCAGACGCGAAGGCAAAGAGGCAGGCAGAGAAACAACGACGTTAGTTACCGTAAAACATGTAGGATCATGGTGATTTGAGTGGAACTCAAAAGATTATCCATTGAAACATGCAAGTAAATGCGTTAATGCTTGTGACCCGTGACCCTTCACTCTTGTCAACACGTTCAAGAGTCTTGTCGTTTGATATACTGATAGCTAATGAACCACGAGACAGACGTTGAAATACCCAAGTCCGGTTTATCACGCTAAAACGAGTACATGATAGACGAATCGACAGAGCCTCCTAGACCCAAGCATCACTATGACTCACACCACAACATCTACGAGATCATTGATTGCACCGTAACATCATTCATCATAAGCAACCGCGATGGGACTCAATCTTGATCACATGCTTAACCGCAGAGACCCTCAAATCCCAACTTGACCCCGGACGTCGGAGGCCTCACTCGATGTGCGTCCTGAGAAACGAGGAGTCATCTGCCTCAGGCCTGTGACCGTAACTCATCCGGCAGCATCTCGTTGAGCCTCAAGGCAACCGCATGACGTTTCACCAGCTGCCAGGTAGATTGGGAAAATTTAGCTTGTAAACTGGACCTATCAAATGCGCAAACTTGGAGATTCACAACTACCCAGTGCGTTCACACTGTTCTCAGTCTTCGATTTCTGGAAGTTCTTATGCCCCAATAGGGATTGTCTTTCAATTTGGTTCCATGATAGTGACATCTCGATGGTGTAGAAGGGTGTGCAATTATCTTCCATGGTTGCTAGACATCCCATAACACACGTCCATAGACCGTTAAGTAACTGCAGTGTGAAATATCAGCAGGGTTTCGTTTACGAGATTTTTATCACAGCGAGTCGCGCTGTATTGGTCACGACTTTTTCGAGGACCACTAAAAGCCCATGGCACGCGAAGCTTAAGATACGAGTCACCTGTTGATGGTATCAACGTCTCACAATTACAACCATATCATCACGGTGATAGACATCTTGATCTAGACGACTAGCCCAAATTCCAATCGACCAAACAAGGAAATGTACTCGCAATCTCAATCACAATTCGTGGATACTCATAACTGCTGCCTACAAAGACCCTGGGGCTTAACCCACATCCCCAAAGAAGAACGCTTCACCGAAACGATTCGCTCCCAACCTCCCAAGCCTCCCATCCACAATCCCAAGGCAACGGATTCGTCGTCGTCGTCGTACTCGGATGTCTGGCCCCCAAAACAAGCAAAATAACGACGCGTCCAATCCCTAGAAGAGTGGCAATATCCTCTCGGCCTCTCTGTGTCCAGTCATACCCTCGGGAGCTTTACTTACACGGGACACCAGACACCAGCCCCAAACTACCCGCAACTCCCGGACACATGAATAACCAATCACAACCACTCCCTCATCGAGATACACAGCCTCTTTCCCCCTTTCCCGACACGCCGTAAGGGGAAGCAAAGTAACACAGAGAGAGAGAGAGAGAGAGAGAGAGAGAGAGAGAGAGAGAGAGAGAGAGAGAGAGTAGGAGAGTGGTGAACGGGGGACTCGGGGCAAAAAACCTAGGTGTGAGTCACAGGTGTGCGCGAAAGCGCCAGCAAATCATATACCCAAGTTTCGGGTGTGGCCGTGGTGGTGGTGGTGGTAGTGGTGGTATGTCACGCACACGCCTCGGAGATTGAGGGCGTTGAAAGGTCAGGTAGTCGCAGATAAGACGCCCGGCGCCAGTGCCAGCGCCAGCTCCGACGGCATATGGCGGCGACGATTGCATGTGGAGATGCACCAGTGAGGCAGGCCATGAGGCCAACAGAGATGTTACCCAAGAAGAGAAAACAACTAGCAAAGAAAGAACCAAAAAGCACGTAAAAGAATACAGCCAACACACAGTAGGTACCTTACCTCACGCCAGCTGGCCATGCCATTGCCCGAAATGTCGAAATCGGAATCTACAGATTTCCGACATTCGTCAGCAGATGGATACCGTAGATGGATCGATCTAGCCCCCCGATCCCCTGGTGCCCCCTCCCTGCTGCGGTGTCGCCCAACGGAAACTCTCAGGGACCTTACCTCGACCCTCGGACTCACATCACCTCACACGTAGAAGAAAGAGGAAAGGAAGAAGGCAGAAAGAGAGAAAAAAAAAAAAAAAAAAACCTGGCACAATATTCCAATGAAATGCGTTGTCGATTTACCTTGCATCAGCATGCATTTTCCCAAACAAAACGCAGCCTGGTTGCGGTGCAGCGCGCAGCGCGCAGGGCGGGCAGGCCTTCTCTCATTGTGCATACGGTAAGGTATTGGCAGCATGTTTTCCTCAACTATTGCTGCCCAAAAAAATGGATTGGAACTTTTTCGCAGTGCAGCCCGAGTCCGCCACACATGGCACTCACACCACACCACACCACGCATATTCACACTCACCCTCACACGCTCAGCGCATTTATGCTGCGGCAAGCAAGGAAAGCAAAAGTGCTGCGTCATAAGCCCACGCGGTACTAAGATTCACCCAGTTAAACGAGGGCAAAAAAAAGCAGGTACTTGAGTGACTTCCCTCAGAGGGGGGGTGTCCTTTCCCCCATCGTTCAAAAGATACATTACCTCCAAAGTACCTCTTACGGTTGGGTATCAGGTATCGAAAAACGATATCACCAATTTGTCATTTTGTATAGAACGCCAAAGAAAATAAGAGTCACAGCTCCTCGGTAGCTCGAAGGGGGTGTTGAAGTCCGGACAGACTTTCATTCCTTGTCCCATGTCTCTATCTCTCTCTCTCTCTCTTCAGCGCGACCCGAACCAAAACCCCGGAGGGATCCGCCCCCCCTCCCCCCTCCCCCCCGAGTGCGCGGGAGATCCGGCGACGGGGGAACGGGCGAAAGTGGCGAATTCTAGTGTCGTCTGAGCTTTTCATTGGTCATCACCGCTGGTCCCTGGAACTCGAGGGAAAAACTGTGCCACATGGCAAGGATTACAAAGCGGTGCTTAGCCACATGTTTCCAGGGATCGCTTACCTCACCATATCCCTGACCGCCCCTCTGTGCCTGGGTCTTGGTCCGGATGCTTGGGGTACATCGGCCGGCTGTGGCGTCGGCCTGGGTTTTGCACTTTTCTTCCTAGTTTGCCTTCAAGTCGCCGTATACGTGTTTCGTGCTCGCGTGTTTTTCAACGACATGCCAATCCGAGGCTGTGGCTCACACCTGCGCTATGAGTGCTGCCATGAGTGGCTTCGTACTGATGATGCGTCCTCCGCCATCTCGCTCTCGCTCTTTTCGCGATTGCGTCGGCACGATGAAGACGTGCGAGCTAATGTCACATGGCTTTATGACTTCAATCCCGACGGAGTCATCGTCTCCCCGAGCTGCTAAGCCTGAAGCTCGAGCATCTCGGATTCGATGATACTCCTCTACCGTGTTGCCACAACTTCCTCGTTGCCGGAGATCCCCAAGGTTACCTATCCAAAGTCAGTGGATAACATCTCCAAGACAACGGATGGATATCCAAATCGCAAGTTCCAAATGATATAGAACAATCCTCATTGGCCCAAGCAGAATCCATCCCATCGGACCAGTAAACTCATACCCATCACCAGCCCTGACATCCAAAACCCCTCCAAAATACCCCCCTCCCTAGATGCACAGCAATTCGCTACACTGATTCGCGAATTCTCAAAAAGACAAATGCACCCCAAAATCCAACAAAATGGAAACCCAAAGCCTCCAACAACGAATGACAAAACTCACCAGTGGAATAAAGTGCCCCTCTTGTTCAAAGAAGCCCTCTGCGAAAGCCCTCGCCATGCACACTCCCCCGATGAACTCTCCTTCCACCCCCTCGGTACCAACCTACCTAGCCCAAGCCCCAGACAGGTCCAGCTCGAGTCTGTCACCGCAGCATCGCCCATGGAAACACTAGTTAACCGTACTCCTCTCTCGCGATGCTCGATAGGGTGACCTGGCCCATAAAGCTACTGCTCTTAGTCTGGACAAGGGGACCATGGCCCGATGCCTACTGCCCGGCAAACGCAAGCAAGTCCATTTGGAATAAGGTGCCACCGCCCGGCCGCATAACCAGGGTGATAATGGAGCGGGGCCCATCAAGGTCAGTCGAAAAAGAAGAGCCAAGACCAAAAAGCCAGACAGCCATGCGTGAAGTTACGGCAAGGCGTGCAGACCGCAGCGCAGCGCAGGGCGACAGACTGGACCAGAACACCATCCGTTGGCTTGCCGTCCCCTACCCCCAAGAAGCATACCTCGTACATATCCCTCCTTTTCTTCTACCCATGGCCCCAGGCGCAGGAGCAAGCGCGTGCGACGTGCTGAGGCTTCGCTCGCCCGTTGCCGCAACCCTGTCCGTCGATGCGTTGTTCATGGTCTACGGAGCCCTGCCCTCGCAGCTCAAACGCACTGAAAATCAAGGAAATCTTCAGCATCTTCAACGAATCTAGGACAACGTGGATGTGAAGACAATCGAAAAGCCTTTGACAAGGGGGGTATCGTGAAAACAGACACCGACTGGGAGACCGGCCGGCCGGCCGCCCTTCCTATCGGTCTACACATCGAGCCAGGGGCCCTTTCAAAGCAGGGGCCGGGCATCTCTTCGCTAGGACAGTGACGGACAACTTTATCCGTCGCGGTCTTGCCGCTTACCGCTCATGATCGGCCGCCGAAAATGCACTCCGCCAACCGAAGCGGAGGAAAGAAGCTGAGAAGAGCAACAACGAGTGCCGCTCCTACGCACCCGCGGTCCACCATCGAAACAGACGCGATTCTCTTCTAGTTCCCACCATGCGTGTTCCCACTTGGTTGCATGGCGAAGACAGAAGACGAGCAGCAAGACGTTGTATCCCGCTTTACTTCGCTTCTCGCTTGTCGCTTATACCGCAGCCCCGGGGTAAGAGGCGATCGTAGTCCGAATCCATCACAGGATCAGCCAGCAGCTTAGTAGAATCCTAGGGAGATGGCATGCTCGGGTTCTGTGCTCGTATATCTCTTTCCTTGTGTGAGCTGATCCTCCTAGTGACCATGTGTATGTGTTGTCGAGGTATCATACGTCCGAGATTCCACCACAATTAGCAAACCCATACGCGCCACACCGTCTTGTGATGGCGATGGCCTCACTCGGAATCACCTGACACTGGTCTAGACAATCGTACAATTGTACAATCCAACAGTGATACTTGTGTGCGCATCATCGACGTCACCCAAGCCCTAACATGACCCTGTCGATGGTCATCGGGCGCATGCGGCATCTTCAACCTAACCAGGGGCAACGGGCAATTTTTTTCCTTCGTTTGAACCACTGCGCAACAGAAAGAAAGCAGAAACGATGGGGAAAAAAGTCAAAATAGGGCATGAAGCAGCAAAAACCCCTCCTCTTCCCTCCTTCGCGTCTGCAACAACATGCAATGCCATGCAAGTGCCCCGCCATTCCGTAAGGTGGAATGCGGTAATGGTAGGGCGGTTGCCATGGACGCAAAGAGTCGGTGAGGAGGGGCTTTCGCGCTGCGCCTGTCACATTTGCGGTCTGGGCCCGGACTGCCGGGAACAGAAAACAGCAAGGAAGGAAAAGAAGAACAACAAGGCGGTTGCAAGAGTCAATACCTATTTTTGGCCAAAAAAGGCTGTCAGTCCCAACGGTATTGGTCGAAGAAGGGCGTGAGCTTTGTAGAATGGGCGGAGTGGACGAAGGTGGTGGTGTATGATTGCTGGCCCGGCAGCATCGACCATGGATGAACATGGGCGGACTGCATGGCGGTGGGCATATAAACGAATAGACGTCAGTGAGGGCATCGTCAGTGGATATTCGATGCGTGTTTCGATATCGAGGGGGTGGGTGTGTGCGATTCGAAGCTCGCCGTCAAATGGATGCAATGCGTCGGAGGTGTTGGGTTAGGGGAGCAATACCACAGACGCCAGTGACCGGAGAGACGGAGAGTCGAAGATGACGGGAATGAATGAAGCAGTCGGGAAGACAATGCAAAATGCGGTGGACCCCTGCCGGCCGCAGGATTAGGGATGCGGATGCGGCCCTCGTTGTGCAGTAGCGTCCCCCTCCCAGCGGCCCTGGCCGTCCGGAAATCGACTTGACTGGCCGTACGAGCTGGTGCGCCGGAGGAGGAGGAGGGGATTTTGTCAAGTTCGCAGTGCGACGTGTTCATTGACACCCAATCAGGACCAAGGTCCTCCCTTGGGTGACCGTAAGGAGGGCTCCGAGAAAGTTTGATAGGTGCAACAGATGGCCGACAGCCTTGGTCTGTTGGACAGCAGTGCAGCCGGAGTCGTGAATGTTGGGACGGACGACATGAGGCTTTCCATAGCGGGCATCTCTCGCTCTTCCTTCTCTCACTCTCATCCTCCCACACCGCGCGCGCAGACCGCACATTCTGTACACCTCTTATGGTGTATCATGGCCTGCTTTGATGAGCACTCCTATGAGTCACTCCGCAGCGACCGTCCCATTCCCGCACCTGGTGCTATGACATGGTAGTAGGGCTGGCATGATGGGAGAGTGGTCTTGAATGAGGAGAGACGGGGAGTGAAATGAGACGTGCTATTCTCGGTGAAAGACGAAAATTTTTCACATCGATGCCGGGTAAAAAGCAAATTACAGTACGCACACACAGAACATTTGGCGCAACCTGTCGCATGGGCACGCATGGCACCTCGGGAGTCTTGGAGTCAGGGCACACGCGCACACACCCGACACTGACACTAGCCGACGGGGGTCAACAACGACAACAATAATAATGTGCAGGGAAGCATCAAGTCTTCCGCCTGCCACTATACGAATACATAGCACGGTTGAGAAAACAAACAAACAGACAGTCAAGGCCACGGTCAAGACTGGGGGCCACGAGCCACTGACCGAGTATTGCGGCCCGCGGTGAAGTGCAGGTAAAGGGAGGGCCATAGAGCTGTGCGATCTTCTAGAACAAAATAATAGTGAGAAAAAGGGTATTATTTTTTCTCCTTGTGGTGGGATGAAGCGAACCTAGCAAGCGAGATCCAAGATGCACCGAAGCCCTGTCGTCACAAGCCAGCGCCAGAGCGTGCGCGCGGCATCTAGCCAGACGGCTGGGTGAGAGTGGAGGAGAGACAAGGTCGGGGACTCAGAGAAGACGTTCAATGCTGGAGAAGGGAGACGCTGGACCGGTGTGGGACCGTCTCCAACTGCAGCAACTGCAGCAGGGGAGCTGGAGCAGGGTGTTCGAAATGTTGCAACCTCCATCAACTCCACCCGGCACGCTAGGAACAGTAGCCTGTGTGACGCTATCTCGCTCGCTATATGCCTGCGATGCAGGGAGCAGGGGAAAGGGGCGTGTAGGAAGAAGGGCATCAGAAGCCTGTGGCCTGGCAATATACTCTCTAGACGAGAGAAAAGGCCCATCTTCCCATACAAGTGGCTCGCACAAACAAGTGACCTGTCGATAGATGGAGCAAACCGAGACAAAGGTTATACGCGGTCAAGAGATCGGACTGAGGAAGTCGAGTACTGAAGTCCTGACCGTTGAGACCGACTGTATGAGGTACTATGGCTGGTGAAGTACGGATATGGTTAACGAAATGAACGTGTAAGTCGACCTCGGTCAGTCCTAAAGATGCCGGGGTGCCGGTGGCCATCGGTGAGAAACGAACTAGGGCTTGACTTGATGCCGGTTGCCTCTGAAGTAAGATGTTGCTGGGAGCCTCAGTCAAACCCAGGAATGCTGATGTTGAATTGGCTTTTTTTGCCGCCTGCTCTCGGGTGGTCCCTTTCATTCGGACGTGTACGGATAGTCAGGAAGTGAGTCGAGGTAGGTGTTCGTGAGACGACGGGTGGGAGATGCGAAGGATGAGCACGGACGAGACGAAAAGAGAAAAACAGACATCGGCCGAGACATGAGGCTACTTGGTTCAAGACAAGACAGACACGACGCGACTCAGGTCGTCCGAGGGCTTGTAGGCCAGGCCGAGCCACAACAACGGTAGTGCATATGCGTACGAAAGCCATGGCCGATGAGACCGCGGCGGCAGTTTCGCAGAGTGAGGTGAGTCGAGTCGATGCAAAGACTCATGGCATGCGCTGCCCTATCCGTACACAGCGCAGCGCATCGGGTAAAAGACCACATGGACATTCCAGGGGTTCAAATCGTTGCAATTGTGATCCCAGGGCGCCTGTCGCCTCTATTGCTCGCATCGCAGCGCCTGTCCGACCCTAGCTAATCCTCGACTAAAGCGCGCGTAGGATCGAGGTTTTGGTTTGCTTCAGTGGCTGCATTAGCTGGGCTTGCGACTAGGACGGGACACATCAGGGCATGTCGCTCCCGAAGGCTGACAGACGCAGAGCCGTAAACGCCCTTGCAATCCCTTGCAGTTCTCCGAGGGGACCACTGGGCTTTCTTTCGGTGATCAGGAAAAGTTCGAGTTTATTGTGAATCTGTGATAGCCAAGTGAACACCTCTGTCAATGGGTGTAAGTGTGGATAGAGTTGGTGATAACCAGCCTCATGCTCCAAGGAGAATCCTAGGACAATCCCTCCGATAGTTTGTCTAGGATGGTATGACGAACACGAGGTCAGGACTTTTGCTGTAAAATCCAGCTTGTCGACGGTAAATTCTGTTGGCACCCAATGCTTGGGTTGAGCAGCTGCTTGGGCCGCAATTGACCAGGGTCATGGTGCACTGCCTCCTGCCTGCCAATTGCGTTGCCCTCTGAGATCAGCAAGATCAATAAAAACAAACGAGGATGCAAGGTGAGAAACCAATGAATGTGGGCGAAATTGTAGATGCCGGTCAAAAATACCAGGCCCGAGAGCGACCACAATTTGGGTACGTCGGCCGGTGTGTAAGGAGCGAGCCAAGGTGAGACAGGACCATCGCCGGCCTCTCAACCAGCCACCTCCCTCCCCCTTTCACCCCTTGTCGACAGCACGTCCCAGACCAGGGGTGAGGGAGATATTTGACCGAGCACACCGTACACCGGCAGTACTTCACCGTACACCGGGAAAATTGGTCACGGTGGACGAGGTGAGGTGAGGGCGCCTGGAGGCTGGGACGGCCACGTCGCAAGCAGGGAGGACGCCATGACGAGCTGGTGGCGGACGGTCTCTAAAAGGAGGCAAGCCGTGGCGAGTAACCCCGAAATTCGAAGGGCGCTACAATCAACAGGGTGCGCCTGGCTGAAATGCAAACTTCGTCGGTAGTAGTCGATGGAGGCATGAGTGGCGGCGGGCAACGGGGAAGGTCTTCGAGTTCATCCGGAAGGCCCAAAGTTGTGGATTTGACTCCAGAAGGCTGGCGGGCTAGAGGAAACAAAGGGCTAGCGACTGGCGATGTAGTGCCGGTTCTGGGCCACTCAGTGGATGGAGTTAACTGAGGTCATGGCCAATGGCTCTGGAATGAATCCCATTCGATGGAACAGAGCAAGGAGAGTATCCACATGCGTCGTCCCTGGTCGCCGCCGCCGGTCTTCCGTCCAGTCGGTTGGTCTGCGATTTGTGTTGACGTCGAGTCAGCGCCGGCCTGTTGTGGAGTCTCGTGCAAGCAGTGCCGTGCGGTCGGAGCTGAATACCTGGCGAAAGATGGGCGCTGAGGAAGAGTCATTGAGTGTAGGAATACGGGCATAGAGACAAGAGGATGGAGACTACTACGTAGAAAGGGTGATGGACAGGAGGAGGCAAAAAGGCTGCATACGCACTGTAACTTACCATGCCAATAAAGTGCATGATTGCCATTCACGTTGGGGATGTTCTCGGGTTCATCCCAGCTGTGGCGCACACTCTAATGCAGGGGCATGTAGTTGGTACGGATATTCGTATCGACCAAGGTCATCTCGTCCGAAGATGCGGCCACCCGAGCTTCTGGCTGGGAGTCGGAACGAGGCAGCTTTACCAGTGGATGTTGAATGTTGATGTTGATGTTCCTAATGATGTTTGCCGGGAGAATTACGTTGATATCCTGAGGTGGCACCCGACGGTGGTTTACCACACGAAAAGGTACGTATATTTGGAGTATTGATAAGAGAAGGTGCACAACGTGACTCTTTCCTTCCCTTCCCTACTGCCTGTCTTTTAGTTCGTGCTAGTCGCCTCCTCCAAGGCAGGTGAGGGAGGAGTCAAGGTGAGGAAGGTGAGGCAGGCGAGGTTCACAGCAAACCTGGAAAGAGCAAGCGCGCTGTACTGTAAGACTGCTTCCAATTGGCTCTTAACAGGAAAAGCGTGGGAGGGCAGGGAAGGGACGGCTGGCCCAATGTGATTTCCGTTCTAGAAAACCAAGATGGGGCCGCCTTGCCGATTCTGGCCATCACTGGGCTCTTGCTGCATGTTCCGCTCTCCCGTCACCCCGCGTTGGGGGACTTGGGGTGCATGTGATGGGCGAACTCCTCCACTCAATATGCGAACCTCCGCAATGTCACTCCGTCACGCATCGTTCCCTCCCAATCGTCATGCTCCATATTCTATAGGTGCTCACCCTCACGTTTGACGGGCGCTTGTTCGCCAGTCACTTGACATTTCACGTTGGCGAAGAGAGGAGCGTACAGGCTGCAATAGATGCCACCCGTCACCTGCCATATCACACTCCAAGTCTCCTCTTACTGGTGAATCTCACGATGGTGTGAATATGTGCACCTCACTATCAGCCATCTATCCCCCAAACTTGAGCCTCTGCTTATCTTTCCCTCTTATCATGCACGCGCCGACTATCCAGCCAGAGTTCCAGGTGACTAGCGATGCGGGGGAATTGAAGTGGGAGGAAACAAGCAGCAAATGGCATCACAGCACCGGATCTGAGAAAAGTTGCACTTTGATGCCCGTCATCCCCGAAAGCCACTCGTACCCCTCCCCCTCCCATGCCAACGTGATCCATCATGCATGCAATGCCTGGGTAGGGCTCAAATGTGTATGAAGTATCCGTAGGTATTCGTACCTTGCTTAGATCGTTGACGCAGCTTCAACCATCAGAATGTTCCTCATGTTCACTTGCCTCTGACTTGCTCCTGCCTCATGCTTCTTGTTTGCTGTTCCGTACCTTATCCCGTGCCTGCTCTACACGATAGCCTCGTTTAAATACAAGAACGCTCCCTCTGACTCCTTCCCTTCTCACAGGCACCGCGACTTCCTCAACCCTTGCTTCCCCCTGTTCCTTCCTTTCACCTTTCGCCATCGACGGCATCCCCTCCGTTTCTTGTACTCACGCTCCGTTGGTCCGTTTGCGACTTCGTCATCCCCAGGACACGCACCTGATACGAAGCAGGCGAATGACGGCGCCGCCGCCTGGTATCTTTGTCACACAACTCATCCAAACATAAAATCAATCCGCTGTTGCACCACACAGCCGGCACATTTCTCCAGAGAGCTTCCAAAGTCGTCTTGAGCCATCGACTGACCAGGCTACCCAGTTTCGACTGCGCTCACTCGCGGTCGCGACAGCAGTCAGCACCTAGTCAGCATTCATTGGCGTCGCACCGGATTACCAAGCGAGCGGCCCGATAATCCAAACCCCAACTCTTAGCTTGTTCGCGTCGTTTGGCGTGCAACCACCAACCGTTTCTATCGAGTTCCAATCTTCCAAGTTCCACCCCATACGGATACAAGACACCACGGTCCGAACTTGCTCAATTCGAGCAACGGGAGATCTCGTCTGCCATCAGGACCGAAGCATCGAATCAACCGCGCCTCAACGTCGACCAGACCAGACAGGCGTGCAGCGGCCGGGGTTCGAGGAGAGGATGAAAAAATTCTGATCTATCCTCCATGGTCGCGACCGGGATTCATCCTTCATCAAGCCCAATACCCCCGTCCTTCTCTACTACAACGGCCAACCTTGCCTTGCTCGTCCGAACCGCCTCACCGAGGGCGCACGGAGCACTAGTAGCAGGCAGCACCCGGCCACGACCACACGAACATTATCACCACCGCCAACTTCAATTACACGCACCAGCCTCACCCAAAGTAATTCGGGGGCCGATCCTCTTCTTGCCTCTGGTCGGGCGGATGGTCAAAATCAGCGACAGCTTACTACTGTCGTACACGACCCCTTTTTGAATCCCATTGACCCTTTGTGGAATCCCGTCGACATTGCAACGCCAAATCACCAAATCATCTCCATACCAGCAGTTGCATTTGAGTTTTCCAGGCCCTTTCGGCTCGTCGTCCGCTGGTGGGCTCGTGTTTCGGTGGCCTTCACCTTGACACGGTGTGATTCACCCTCGGAATCCCAACAATTGCAACCCTGTGTTGGACGATCAAGGACCAAACTGCGGCCAGCCGCGTTGCGCCAGGGGAACGAGAAAATTTTTCACCTAGGACGCTCTAGCGGCACTGGCCCGGTGAGATTCCCCCGTGGCACCGGCACCGTTGGAGACTTCCCCCCCTCTCTTTTGGTGTGGTGGAAGCCATCTCCAAAATTCAAATTCCACGCCTGTTCGTGCGAAGACCCAATTTCGCTTACCTGTCACCGGTAAATTTACCCACACGGCAGCGCCTACTTTCACAAGGATCGCTGGGCTTTATCTCTGGAACTTTTTTTTTTCGGTGCCCCTCGCCCCTCTTGCTCATCCACGAACAAGTTGCGCCCGGGGACTAGGAATCGGCAGCCGGGGATCCCACGGACGTTGGTGTCGACTCATTGAAACGACAAGGCCTCCCAGTCCTGAGTCCGCCTGTGTGGTCAGGGTGTTAAGCGTTCCCAGCCGTTAGGGCGCCGGAGTCGCTATCAGAAGCGGTGACCGGATTTTGATTCTAGTGTGGCTAATCTCAGCGTCAAGGTGTGAACATCGATCTTCACCTTTCAGCGGACGAGGGCCTGCTCTGGCTCATTCCCATTCCACCCCTGGCGAAGGACCAATGTGGAAGGTTGAAATTGGTACATCGATCAGAATCAACCTGGGCCGAAAGAGAGGAAAGAAAGTGTGTGTCACTGCCCGGTGACGGTGACTCGAACAATCAAAAAAGCAATCAAAGGGGTCCAGCGCGCCAGTGCCCAACGTTGGGAATCGAGTTGCTACTTGCACAGGGCGACTGCAGGCAAACGCAAGTGGCCTGGACGACGAGGTGCATTCTTCACTGCCACCCCTTATTTCCACGGACGTGCCTTTGAGGTGCGATCGTGTGTGTGTGTGCGTGTGTCTCCTATTTCCAGGAGCTTCTCTCGAGTCAGCAACAAACCAAAGCGCGTTTAGGTCAAGCTGTGCCACGAGTACGCTACACGACGGTAATTGACATATTCTGACCGGGCGCGTGGCCAACCAGACTGGAGACATCATCATCATCATCATCATCATCATCGTTTTGCAGCAGTAAGCGTCGATTACGACTACTGCAACTTTTTAAGCCCCAGTAAAGCAACCTAAGCTGGACTGCGCATTGGTGCGTCGCGACAGCTGGCTGAACCACGGACTTGACGGGCTTGGACAGTCTGAGGATCTGAGTCGCCGCTTGCTTCCGCGCGATTTTGAACAAACGCACAAACGAAGGACGAACAGCGACGCAAGGCCAGACAACGGGCTGTTTATTGGTCTATCGCCGAGAGGTGAACAAGCCAGGGAGAGAGACAAGCACTCACTCAACGTGTAAAAGGGGTCCAGTCAATACCGGACGGTGTATTCGCGCGGGTGGCTGGTGTTGTAGAAGGGAGCACCCAGCAGCAGCAAAGCATCAGCAGAAGCCAACGGCTTTGCCATCCTCTTTCTCTTTGGGAGCAGCCATCCACTGTTCTCGATCACGTAGCATCTATCTCAGCGGCGGCCAGACCGGGATCCCGAGGTGTGAGTAATCCCCCCACTCTCCCTTTACTCACCACAGGAGCTGAACAAGCAGAACAGCGGCGAGCACGGAGTACTTGGTTAAAAGTAGAGGAATAGGGACACCCCTCCCTCTCAGGAACTTGTCGTCTGTGTTCCCTCCCAAGAGGGGGCGCTCTAAATTGGACCCAGGTTCCGTGTCCTCGTACGCTAAGGCAAGCCAGCCACCCCTGCCACCCTTGTCCTTCTCTGCAGCAGGGGACAGGGATCAGAAAAGGGAGCTGCTTTGGTTCCTCCGGCTAGGCCACCACGCCCCGGTGCGAGACTTTGGACTACCACCCCCTGTGGGCCTTTTTCGCGCGCATTCCCACTCCTCCCTTCTCCTCTCCCACAAAATCACACCAAGTAATTAAATACCACGCTGCCCTCACCACCACTCTTGAACTTCTCCTCTCTTCTCATGTTTTTGGCTTCTGCCATTCAATGAATATTCTTTGACACTCACAGCTTCGGCTTCGGCTGCCAATCACTTTCAAAACAACCTCAGGAAAGAGACGTCATTCGTTGCTTCGCTGGCTCCCTCCGAGAAGCCTCCAGCAACTTCCATCCAAAAGACACTACCGACGTCGAGAAGATTCCTTCCCGCACTCGGTAATCTGGTTTTGATCCTTGGTCATCGAGGGTAACCTGCAGCAGTTATATCAAACTTGGTCATGTTCGGGCACAGAAGACAACTTTCCTCTCCTCTATCTTCCGACCGCATACCAAGGTGACTTACTTCACCTTTTCTTCGCGCCTCGACACCGGCGCGACACCCTGGCCCTGGAATCAACCATCCGCATCGACACACTATACCGACATTTTGGGGGGAGACGTGAGAACTAGCAGAAGAAGCTGCTAGAGAAGAAAAAGAAGAAGACAGATTTGAAGAATATCGTGGACGCCTCCCATCGACGACGCCACAGAGAGCCATCAGTCAACATGGCCTACCCATCCCCCTACGCATCTACTCCCAGCGACGAGTACTACTACACCCGGGAACGGATGCAGTCAGCAACGCCAACCCCATCCCCTCGTGGTCCCGCCAGCTACTACTACCCGCCCGGATCAACCCCCCAGCGCCCGGCAACCCGCGCCCATTTCCGGAACGCCAGCAGTGGCTTCAGCGAGTACAGTCCCCGTCCGCCGACGGCGTCGCCTCGATACACGAGCGATGGCTACTATGCCACGGCAAATGTGAGTAGTGGTCATCATTCGCGCAAGCATTCATGGGCCACTCCGTCGCACGAACCGCGCGAGCGCCGATCTTCTTTTGTCTATGTACGGGCCGCAACGCCCCACGGAGAATCCGACGACGAGCTTATCGAAGTGGATGGCCGTACTTACTTGGTGCCGGGCAAGTCGTCACGGGCGAGGAGCAAGAGGCATTCTATTCAGGAGACTTATTACTTTGAGGACGGAGGATATCCCACTGATTACCGTTCCCACACACAGAGCGGTTTTGCCTACATTGAGCGCGATGTCCCGGCTTATGAGCCTCGACCCTCCCGCACCCCTGCAAACACCCACTCCCGCCGTGCCTCGACTTCGGTTCCCCAGAGGCCCTCCACCGTTCGCCCCGGTAGCAGTTCTCAGTCCTCCAAGAAGGCCCAATCCCAGCCCGAGACCAAGAAGCCCACACCCCCTCCTGTATCTCGCCCGGCCAACGAGAACGACGCCAAGAAGCACAAGATCCCCCCAGGATATTCACTCAAGAACTGGGATCCCACCGAGGAGCCCATTCTTCTTCTAGGCAGTGTCTTTGACTCCAACTCCCTGGGCAAGTGGATCTACGACTGGACCGTCTACCATCACGGACCTGCCACCCCCATTGCTGATATGGCAGGTGAGCTGTGGTTACTACTGATCCAGCTGGCTGGCAAGATCAAGCGCGGAGAGGAGACCATTGAACGCGTGCGCAGCACTGAGAAGAAGGAGATCCTCGATGACTTCATTGATGCTGGTGAGCGCCTGACTGACAAGCTTCGCAAGCTTCTTAAGACCTGCGAGGCCCCTATGCTCAAGGCCAGCAAGAAGTCGTCTTCTCTCGGCAAGAACGCTGGTGTCCAGTTCGTCGAAACCCTGTTCGGTATCGAACGCGAGTTAGACAAGACTGAGCGATTCATGCAGGGTGTTCGTCTCTTCATCCTTCGTTTCGACGCCAACTGTGATGATATTCTCAAGAACCCGGCGAAGTAAACGGACCCTCTCTCTGGACACTTTCCCTTGGTCTCCTTTCTGTCTATGCTGCCATATTCCATGGACGGAGTTACCTTAAGGAAGCCTACGGATGAACCATCGGAGCCGAACCTCTCATCACCCAAAAAAACAACAAGAAAACCCAATATCGAACCGACGGATGGAGTTGCCAATTGTACGATTAGGAATCTGTTTCCCGGATCTCATTTTTTTCCAGGGAGTTTCCTCTTCCATGTCACTGAAACACGACGGATTTGGATTTCCCTCTATTCATCACCATAAACATAATATGGCGCGAGCTATTATGCATCGGGGATACACACCAAGGACTTTTTTCTTTGCGATACCCAAGATACCACACGGACCTGAACCTACACGGGACGAGAACGACACGAACGAACGAACGCACGGCATCATCGACCTTGTGTTACAGGGATGGACATCAAAAGCATGCTTTGGTTGCGAAATGATTACCACGGGCGACTGGAACACGTTTCAGTCATGGAAAAGGACAGCGTGCTTGCGCTTTTATCAGGAATGTTTCATTGTTTACTGGGCTTGGTTCTTTGGAACCTCGCCATCGCAAAGCTTGTGCGCACAACAGGGAAACAACAGTTATGTGTAATATGGTCGTCGATTTGCAAGGATGCAGCGACGACAAGTTGAATTTTATTTAGACGGATGCTCCGGATCTGATTGCTTGCTTTTGTTCTTTTTCTGGTTTGCACTACCGCATCCACAACACGCCGCACTGGAAGCGCTGCTCTTCACTTTTACTTATTATTGTTCACACGTCTCGATCAATTCGAGAGACGAAACGGTTTTCCTTTCGAACTGGCAGGAAGATAACGGAGGAGCTGGATATACCCCTTCCTTTCCTTGTTACTGGCTCCGTGGGTGAGGCGAGTCTGAGAAATAGTTGCAGAAATCAATTAGTATCATTCTTAACATCTGTGCCTTTTATGTTTTGCAATGGGACATGTGTGGTCGACACCATGGTGGTTGACCACGAGCGATGAGAGTGACATGGGCCGTGGTCGACACCTCCGTCATCTTCGCGCAACATCTACTACCAGGGTCCTGATTTCCCACGTGGCTCCTCCAGGGAAAAGAACCAGCGAGTGAGAGCCATCGTGAAAAAAGAGACCCTTGCTCGTCCGTGCGGTTCCTTGGAATTTGGCGGACGGTGGTTCGATCGTGAGGACAATTATGAGGTCATTTTCGCGACCAGCCACCCTTGTAAAACTTGTAAGCGAAGGGCTCCGCGCGGGGGAGGGAAGGTCTTTTCATGCGACTAGGGCCTTGCCATGCGCGACATCACGCGGGGACGATGTCTAGACTAGGTGACTAGGTATATCGGAGGCTGACAATTGTAGCATGATGCGGCGGCGTGAGCGGGAGAGGGGAGCGGACACGGGATCGTGGTCTGTGGATTGTTCATCCGGTGTGTGCCCTTCTGAAGATTTTTTTTCATGATGAGGGCGTGAAGATTAGGGTTATGAGGAGTGTGAGACACTGAGACTGAGACTGAGACTGAGACCGAGACTCTGAGAGAGAGAGAGAGAGATAGAAATGTCAAGTCATCTGGGCTGTGATTACTTGCATATCATCAAGCCCCCGTCTGGTTTCTTCAATTCCACTTTTCCATGTTTGACCTTTTCTTGGTGTGGAATTCTGCCCTCTGGATCTAGGTAGCCTGTACATTCTTCGCGCAGCAGCAGCTCTTAGGCGGGGAGATATTCGTTGTCTTGAACTCAATCTGTCTCTTGTACAGACACGCCGGGACTCACTTGCTTTGGAGACTCTGGAATGTGTCGGGTTGGGGGCTTGGAGAGCTTGGAGAGCTTGGAGAGCTTGGAGAGCTTGGAGAAACAGAAACCATGATTTGGAAATGTGTCAATGTTTTGTGTTAAAAATCCCTCAACGGGCTTGCATGAGTTGGTGTCAAATGTCTCTTGTTGATGTGTTGCAATGTGTGAGGACTGTGAGACTGAACTATGAGACTAAAGTATGTAAGTGTCTTGACTCGATGCCACGGAGTCAGCCAGCCAGCCTTGTTCTGATGAGTGGGAAGAGGAAAAGAGTAAGACGCGTCGTCCGTCGGGAGGTGTCTTCCGACTAGCAGTGCATAGGCAGTTTTGAATCAGAGAAGGATGAGAAGAAACGGGTGGGCTTTGCCGGACTGGTTTGTATTCGATGCACACGCTCCGGGTCTCACGAGTTGCGGGAAACACTTGTTTTTTTTTTTTTCTTCTTCTCCTGCCAGCCTGTGTTTCTTCCTCAGGGACCTAGGTAGGCCAGCG